CTTAAGGGAATTATACAGCAAGACATAACAATCATAAATATTTTTGCCCCAAACAATGGATCACTTACATACATCAAGCAAATCCTTCTTAATTTCAAGAATCAAAAAGAGCACACCACCATAATATTGGGTGACTTTAACACACCTCTCTCACCACTGGATAGATCCTGGAAACAAAAACTAAAAAAAGAATCGATAGAACAAAAAAATAAAATTAATAATTTAGACTTAACAGACATACATAGTCATCTATCAATGACTAAAAACACTTTCTTCTCAGCAGCACATGGATCCTTCTCTAAAATAGATCATATCTTAGGCCACAAAACAACACTTAGCAAACACAAAAAAGAAAAAGAAAAAAGAGAGAGAGATAATACCCCGCATTCTATCAGATGATAATGGGATCAAATTAGAAATCAATGATAAAATAATATGCTATTGAATGACAAATGGATAGCAGAGGAAATCAACATTTTCTTAATAAGTTGACTCTCCTGCTCTCTAAAACAAGTGTTTGGTATCTTTTTGTCTTTCTTCAAATCCCCAGCTTCACGCTCACTCTCAGCCGATGACTGTCTCGAACATTGAAGGCTTGATATTTTACCTTGTTTTCAACCTAACAAGTTAGTTTGTGGTTCATGGATGCTGGCAAAAGACCTGAAACACCTGGGTCAGAGACAAAGGACTTCTTACGGCAATGGCAGTAACCTGAGTGTGGGCATCTGTGCTGCTTCCCCAGGCCTACAGGCAATGCAAAGGCCAGGGGTGAAACCCTCTGACTCCGTGAAACTATTCTTCACAGCACTGAATTAGACAGGCAGTCAGTACACACAGATAAATGGAGTCAGGTCAGGTCAAGGAGGCCTGTTTGAGTGAGTCCAGGAAGTTGGAGACTGTGCCCTGAGGGATTGAAATGTTAATTCCTTCAGAGCCCTTCCTCCACTCTTAACAAGAACATGCCAAGGAGGCAACAACCTGTTGCTAAGGTAACCTGTCCCAGGGATTGCACCCCCCCCCCCACCAGGGAGTCATAAAGTTTTAATTAATGTGTCCAGGCTGCTCCACCTGGCCCTTCCCCCATCCATCTGCTTTTCACCTTTTGGCCATCCCAAGAGCATTTCCTGGGCCTAGTCACATACATAGGAAGGAGAGAGATGAGGGGAAGGAGGCAGAACAAAGGAAGTTAGGACATATAAACAGGCCAAACACCTTCACTTCTTGGGATACCAGCATAGTATCTATGGACCCCTTCTTCCTCCTGGGAGAAGTCTATGTTACCCCTTTTTAAATAGACCGTGCTTTATATGCTTGCCTCAGTGTGTTTCTCTAATGTTATACTTCGATATGTGAGGGAGCAGGACTCGTCACCAGAAACTGGGGTATGACAACTACCCTGTAGGCTGGATCATAAACAGCTGGAATTGGAAGAGAATTTTGAGATACGTTTCCAGAGATCATGATTCTGATGCAATTCCTCCCCACCCACAGTGCAAACTAATAATGAGAGAAATAGACTCTTTTTCTCTTTTAGTTTATATGCTTCCTAGCACATCTTCAGATTTCAGATACTTTCCTAAGAACATATTTTGAAAAATATATTCTTTTAAACCAAGTAGGACACCACTTTAAAGCAAGTAGGATGGCTTTAATAGAAAATATGAACAAAAAGAAACTGTCAGCAAGGATGTGAATTTGAACGCTCACATACTGCTGATTGGAAATGGTGCATTTTGGAAAAACACTAGCATTCCTCAAAAATTTACATGGGATGTTTGTATTATTTAGTACAACCCCAAGGGATGAAAACCTGTCTACAAATGTTTGTCACAGCATTACTTATTACAAACTGGCAGGGCAATGAAGGTGACTTAGGAACAAAGCACCAAGCAGCCCACGCAAGTGAAAGAAACACCGACCAGTAGGGTCTCCTGGCAGTCCAGGAAACCAACTCCAGTGGGACAAGGGACTCTAAAAACCCCTTTTCCTGTCCCAAGCCCTCCCTTCCTGCCCTAAACCTCATAAAATTCCAGTCAGATGGAGCCCCCATGCAGTTTCTCCTCAGACCCTCTTCTTATCTGCTCTGTCAGTGTGATAGAGTTCCCCCAGGGAGTGGAATCTCAATAAAGCCTCCTTCAGTGGTCTTTTTAAATCTGCCTCCTTTTTGGTTACCACCATTGCCTGACTTTACAAAAACAGAAGGAGAATAACTCATATTGATAGAATGTGGTACATCCACACAATGAAATGTTACTTGGGCCATGAAAAGTAATTAAAGTTCTGAAAAGCTACAACATGGATGAGAATTGGAAACATGCTAAGGGAGTGAAGCCAGACATAAGGAACACATACTGAAAGATCACATTTACAGGAAATGTTCAGAATAGGCAAATCTACAGATAGCTGGAAGTTAGTAGAATCAATGCTTCACTTTTTGAATATACTAAAAAGCTACTGAATTGTGCACTTCAGAAGGGTGAAGTTTGTGGTATGTGACTGTATCTCAATAAAACTAGAGTTTTTAAAAATTAAAAAGACTGCTCAAGATTAAGTTGAATGCTGTGTTGTTAAACCACGATGCAAAGAAAAGACCACCAATTCCAATTTTAAATCTAATTAAAGCAAGCTTGTAATTCCGTCTGGGACTGTCTTTCCCAGAATCCTTGGGTTAGAGAACAGTACCCCAGCTCTCTAGGAGCGTATTTTTATAGCACAAAAAGTTGCAAAGGAGAGTGTCTTGAAAACTTACAGATAACAGGATTTTGACAAGCATAATACAAAGGTAGATAGTAGGTTAATGATCTAAATGGTTCAACATTTCAAGTTAGGGAGTAAATTTAGCTCCCAACACCAGAATTTATGAGGTGCCACTAAGGTTTCAGAGAGGGTTGTTATCTGGTCAGGGAAAGCCAGGCATGGGTGAATACAAGGCACCGGCAGGCATTCCAAGCAAGTTTAGAAATCACAGTAAATTATATTAAAACAGAAATTAACTTTTCATGACAAGATGGCTCTCAATTTTAAGATGGAATTAGGCTGGGTTCATCAGTGTACCCCAAATCTCAATTTCTGTATTCATTTACACGATTTATGATGACATTTGAGATTACTTTTTACATTTCAGTTTTACGCTAGGGGCATAGAATGGCATTCCTATTCTTTAAATATGCTAAACTTCATGCCACAATCCAAAGTCCACTGGTTTAAGGGGTCTGAAGACGGAGTGTTCTGGGCCAGCTGTAGCCATCTTTCAATGCTTTCACCTGTCAAAGAAAAGCTTTGAACAAGCCGGACTCTTAAGATCCCTTCAACTCCAGTTTCTTAGGAACTTTACTAGTATAACAATAGAACATTTTAGCAATTGGAGTAGGATGAGCAAAACGAGGGAGCAGCAGAAAGAACAGTACACCAGGTTATCATAGCTAAAGCCATTTAGCAAGATGGGGGCAACTTGAAGTTGTCAGTCACATGCCCTAAACTGTCTTGTTCATAAATACCAGACTAGACGGTGCTAGCATGTGGACATTTTTGCTGGACTTCACCTTCTCTAACTCCCTCTATTACTGCTGTGACTATGACCTGCCCCACGAGGCATACTCTGTGTCCGTTCTTGTTACAATCTGACCCAGGACTTCTCTGAGAATTAGGCATGGGTGCCTTGGGCAACAGCTCAGCATTCAGGAACACACATGGGGAAATTAATGTCCAGAGGGCCACCTTGGTCATGAACAAATGAAAAAGGATAATTGCTTCTCACATTTTCATCCTGCAGGTGGATAGCTCTCAAATGATTTCATTAGACTCCTCAGAATGCCCATCAAGAGGGATCTCCAGGCACCCAGTGATGACCAATTCAATAATGGATTGTTGAGTTTTATGTCCTTATGTTCTACTACCCAGTCTCTTGCTAGGGTTTTTTGGGGTAACTTCCCCCAAGTAACACCTACATGATTCTTTGACTCTGCTTAAGAGAAATCTATATCGACCTGCCTTTTAAAGTCTGCTCTGCCTCAAGTATAAGCTAAAGGCCCAACACAGCAGAACAGAGAGGCAGAGTTCAATCCCCACTTGGCTCTGCTTGCCACTAATTCAACCCTGGTACTTGAGATAATGTATCATAGGACAGAACAGACATCAGGATGACAGCCATTTACAGTGGGAGGGTAGGCACAGGTGATGGCATTTTACACCTATGCCAACAGGCTCAGACATGTGGAATGCTTGTCCCAAGACTAGAGCTGACACAACAGTCCAGGTCCCTTATACCTTAGCAGAGTGACCTCAAGGACGATTATTAGTAAACTCTGCATGCTTACACTGTATAATGGTACAGGGGACCTCCTATTATTGGTCCTTATTCCTGACAGCTGGTCTGAAGGCACAACCTATGGTCCTCATTTTAAAATCAGGGTTCAATTATTCACGTAAGGTCCCTCAGCCAGGAAGTGCTGGATTTGAACCAGAGCCCATGCTCCTCACTAGCATGCTACAGTATGCTAACAGGTCGCCCCTGACCAGTAGCACGCCATGATGCATAGCTACCTGAGTGGCAGAACAGGCCACACAGGGTGAACCAGGTACCAGAGATGAGCTGCTACTTCTATTGGTGGTGTTTAGAGAGCAAGGAGTTAGGGCTAAAGAGAAAGTCATTAGGACCAACACTGAGAAGGCAACTGTGCGAGCGCAGGCTGAGGGCCTCTCCTCAGATCTCCCAGAGGACCAATAGATGGGGTTCCATGCCTCCAGTGTAGGTGAGGAGGACCCACTACGCAACTTGATTTTACTAAAGCCCTCAAGTTTAACTGAAGCAAATACTGAATAAATTTAATCTGGCAAAAGTAATAGCTACTGGGCTGGGGTTGTGGCTCAGCAGTAGAGCACTGGCCTAACACTTGTGAGGCCCTGGGTTCAATCCTCAGCACCACATAAAAATAAATAAATAAATAAATAAAGGCATCAAAAAAAGTAATAGCTCCTATAAAAATGTATTTATACACAAGTAGTTCAATTTGGTTTTATTGCTCACATATGATTGCACAGTAAATTTTTACATTTAAAAACACTTCATTACATTTAGCACATATCAGCACGAATAAGACAAATAACTTCTATTTTCAGACAGAAGGAAACATTTTGAGGAGTAAGAAGTTAATTGCTGGTAAAGTGTGATATTACTCTAAAAGACAATGAGTTCAGAAGTATCGTGTGTGTGTTTTCAGGTAAATTCTAAGCAAATTCTATGTAAGCCGCCACAGACAACACAAGTAAATGAGGGACACTTAAATGTTAACTGTCAATGCCACACAAAAGAATGATATTAACAACTGTATACAGCAAAAAGAGAATGATTAATAATTTATTGAGTTTTACACATCTAGCAAAAATATAGCAATTCAATGACCTTCAACAAATCCTCACGTTTCTGTATCTGAATGGGTTCCAAAAGAGTATGCACACCTTGTCCCTGCAGAAACCCCTCCAGACATGGAAGGCTCAGCCAGAGGAAAGATCCATTTCTTGAAAATCCCTGTCAACAATATCAGTTTCAGTCTATTGAAACTAGGATACACAGAAGTCTACTGTGATTTAAAATAATAAAAACAAAAATCTCCTCACAAAACCCAAGTCAACTGCTTACAAAGACGAAGAGAAAGGTATGATAAACATTAATTGCAATGGTTTTCCTTTACATGCAATACATGCATTTTTAAATCACTGAGAAATAACAAATTTTGTAAAGCAAAGTTTGTATTTTGCTTGAGTGGAAATGAATATATCTTTTCTTAGCTATTAAACTGTATATATTTTCCATACAAAAGCACACAGTGTTAAATTTATAAAATGACATCCAAGTGGATGATGATTGTTTTTGCATGTCCTCCTGCTTAGATTTTATATGCACAGTCAAAAATTAATATATTTCTTTAAAAAGAAGGAAAATAAAAACACAACACTTGGCATACTATCTAGTGACACATTTTACCTTGTAAGAGGGAAAGCTACAGTGACAACTGCAACAGAGCCATGTGGTCCTCCAGGGGTGATGTACTGTTGAAAACAAGGTCTAGTTTATCTACATTAATCAATAGCCCAGGATGTCTAAGTACATATGATTACATTTTTTTCAAGATGATGCACTTTGGTTTACTGAATGTGCAAGTTCAGTAAAAAGTTTCCTAAACTTTTTCTGTTTCTATGAAAGGTGCCCTAATAACCATAAACACAAGTCAAAACATCCAATCCTTCACTGTAACTTTTCAAACAAAAGTCAAACCTGAATTGTTTTTGAGCTACAATTTTTGATATGTATATTATTTTATGTAAAAAGAAACTGAATCTGAAAAGGCAGAACTATAAAGCTGGTGATTTTATAGAAATGCCCTAAAAGAATTTTCTAAGAATTGCAAAGAAAGTTGTTCATTTTTATCATGTGATAGAATCCACTAAAATCCACAAGGCAGAGTGTCCCTATGACCTGGGCAGCTGAAATCAAAAGCAGCTTTCATTGACAAACCTTAGCACACTTGATTATTAAAACAGACACTCTTTTTGAATGTAACGTAACTAATCCTAAACAGAGATACACACAAGTTTTGGTTCAATTCTTAAAAATTAATTTAGTCCATCTGAAGAATTTTTTGACTATGAAGATTTAAAACAATGCACCATATAAAAATCTAAATTAATGTGCTCTTAATAGAAATTGAAATGTACAGACTCCTCACAGGTGAACTAGTAGCTGTTTTAAATGTCTGTCTTTTCTATACTAAATATATATTTTATTTAATTAATGTAGCCACAGCAAAATACTACTATAATTTCAAAGCACAGCCTGTAAACTAATACATCTTAGGATGTAAAAAATATTGCACAATTCGGTACTGCAAGAGTAAGCTCTAAGCCTTTCAAGGGGTCACACTCTTGGCAGAAAACACAGTATTGCAAGAACAGACATTGTAAAGTATGGCGACTCAGGGTCATAATCTAGGAATACTATTAACAGATGTCTTGTCATTGTGAACACACTGAAGAATATCTAGTGCACATTATTACAGTAGAGGACTGGAGGGAGGCTTATCAAAACTTCTTAAGCATGGGGACGGAAAGCCACATGACAGTTTTGCAACCCCAGGATTAGGAATATTTTTACTTTTGCAGATAATCAAAAATAAAAGCAATTCTATTTCTGAGAAGTTGTGTAGACATTTAAGAAATACAGTAAACATTTCATACATTTTTAATCCTTTTTTAAAAAAATTACATGTTTTGAAAGGTTTAAAATATACTGTTTTAACAATGGAATAATGTGAGACAAACACATGTTCAAATTTACAAGCCAACAGAAACCTCAAAACAAAATAACATGGCATGAATCTATCTTTAAAAGTACTATAAATCATATAGTTCCCAAACTTCTAATATGATATGCCAAGCATTTTGTTAAAGATAAGTTCCCTCATCATTTTCAAGAAGTATGTCAATATGCATTAAGTAAATTCTGAAAACTCAGCTTGGCTTTGATTTTTAGGCTTTAAAATCCTATGCTGAGATCTTCGTGAGCCACTCAGTACACACACAAATCTGGAAACTTCATCTCATAGACTGGGACAGATTGGTATTGGGCATGTCCAGAAGTAATGGTCAGTGTTCCTGATGGACTGGGAGGAGGACTGTAAAAGAAAAACATGACACTGTCAACAGGCATATTTAGAAGCTGCTCATTTCATAGAGTACTCAATCTACTATCTGCAAACCACAAAGTAAGACTCCTTAACTGGAGAGATCAACAAGATGTAGGTGCTGGCCAGTTGTAAAGCTGTATGGGTTTCAACAACTGAGGTGTTCAGCTTTAAGTCTAAACTAGACATTTTCCTTTGAAAAAAACATACCTATGTGTATGTACATATATTTATATAATGTGTGTGTGTGTGTATACACACACACACACACACACAATATAATTGTTACAGCAGGATTACACTCTCTACTTTCTTATGAGATACTCTGTTTCACAAGCAAATACTCTTTCCTGTATAAATGCTGGCCTTTTGATGACAGTATATTTTACCATATGGATAATCATTTTTAAAAAAAATCTACCGAAAAACACAGGCTTATTTTCATTATTGTGAATGTTTATAAGTTTATTCTTATGCATATAAACTTATCCTGCCTGAGTCCTTGGCCAATAGATTTACAAGTAAAACTTCTGAGTCAAAGGGGATTCATAATTTTGACTTTGGCATATATTTTAAGATACTGGCAATGTATACTTTCAGCACTTTAAGTATGTTATGGTTTGATCTGGCATGTCTTCCAAAGGCTCCTGTGTGGAAGGCTGAGCCTCCACTGCAGCCAACATTCAGAGGTGGTACTCTGTGAAAATGATAGGATCATGAGGGCTCTGACCTCATGGGTTTATAGTTGATGATGTCCCTTGTAAATAGGTGGAGGAAACTTCAGGAAGTGTGGCCTCTTAGAGGCAGATCACTGAAGGTGTATTTCTCTTCCCTGACCCCTTTTTCTCTCTCTTCTCTCTCTCTGTTTACAACTTTCCTTGAAGTTAGCAGCTTTGCTCTACTGTACTCTTCAACCTGATGTTCTCTTCACCACAGGCCCAGAAACAATGGAGCCAGGCAAGCATGGACTTAAATCTCAGGAAAAAAATGAGCCAAAATTAATCTTTCTTCTATAAAGTTGCTTTCTTAGGTATTTTTTTTACAGTTGGGAAAAGCTGACTAATAACGTACCTGTCCTCTGTTATACTGTTAAAAACTTGGATACTTTTTTTTTTTTTTTTTAAATCCTTGCCAACCTAGCAGGCAAAACAGAATTCATTCCTATTTTTATTTTCAATTTTTAAGTTATACTACTACTACTGACAAACATCTTTATAGTATTCATTTTGTTTCTTTAAATATGTACACTTTTTGTGTCCACTGCCTGTATTCCTACTCAGATATTTTTCTCTTATAAATTTAGGAAACTAATCTTTTGTCATATGATACAAATGCTTTTCTCCAATTCATTATTTAATTATCAATTTCTTTTTTGGCTAAATGTTTAAGAATCTTACACAAAAAAATTCAATTTTCTTTTAACTTTTAGTTTTTCAGTTATGTTAACACCTCCAACAAAGATTATGAAAAATATATCTGGTATAAATTCTAGTGTTTCTATATGTTTTTCTAAACAAACAGTTATTTTTTCTATTTTGGGAAAAAGAAATGATGTAGGAATCCTCCTTCACTGATGAACAATCTTTAGCAGTTGTCCAAACAAGGTAACCTCAACATTCTCTCTGTGTGTGCAGAGAGAAGTCAACTTTTTTGTGTGCTCTTTAAAAGGACACAAAAATCTCTTTAATTCAAATCTCTTTTATTCAAATCTCTTTAAAAGGACACTTAAGATGATAATATTCAAATTTCTGAATTTTCTTATTGTTATGCTTTAATACTCTTATGAGAACAATGTTAGAATCTGCAATTATAATAATACAACAAAACAGGAACAAGTGAGAACAAGCAGTTCCATCACATTTATTTACTAAAATATAGGTAGCTTTTCTTTAAACTCCAATGCATGTGTGGGTGTGTGCAGTTTTAAGTACCTTGTCTATTAATTCCAATAAATGGATAATCTGATGTTGCTTCCTCTCAGTGTATTTATGACTGCTTCTCTGAACTCCTTATAATTTTTTTGAATATGTAAACTATCTACTTGCATCCACTGCCTGCACTCCTACTCAGATATCTTTTTCTCTTATGAGGAAACTAATTTTTTGTCACATCAATTTTTTTTTTCCCGTGCCCAGGTCACAGTGAATAAAAGAGGGGGGACTGAAGTATAAGACTCTTTGTTTGGTCTCTTTTCTGGATAGCACAAACTCTCTCCTCTGGCTGCTTAGGGCAAGGGAAATGAACATGAGAAAAGGTACTGGCAAGTCTGAAGATTGTGAAGGTGGACTTCATAGCTAGACTTTAGTTCTGTGTCATGCAGGCCATCCCAGAACTGCTACTTGCTGGCTAAGTGACCTTGGATAAGTCACCTAACTTCCATCTGCCCGTCTGTACACTTTAAAATGAGGAAAATCATGACTTATTTTTTAGGCATATTGTGAAAACTAAATGAACCAATGCACTTACCATAGTGTCTAGAGCACCATGCTTGATAAATGTTAACTATTAGTGGTAAGTGCTCAATAAATGTGAGAAGCAGCAGTACCAACAAAATGGAAATAGTCATAACACTTTATTTTAAACTATTTAATTCATATAATTATGTTGGTGTGACTAAATGTAACAGTGATACCTAGCAAATTTTCTCTTAAGAACATGAGTTATGGATTTAAATTTTGACTATGCCACTCACTAGCTACATGACCTTCAGCAAGTTACTTTCCTTCCCTAAGCCTTAGTAATTTCACCTGAAAATGAAAAAGACATCCTCTACCTACCTTTCAGGGTTGTGGCAAGGATTAGCAAAAATAACAATAAGAAATCTGTAGTATAAGATAAAGTACACGGTGGATATTTGGTATTACAGTTAATGGAAAGCAAAGAAGTAAATGCCCTTACTCAGCAATTTTCTCTGAAAACTAGATTCACAACACATTGCATATTTCAATTCAATTATCTGTCCTGAAATTTTGTAAATGAGTGATTCTTTACTTAATAGAAGCAGTAGGGATGTGGGGAAGTGTTTAGAATAAGATGTGATACCGTAAACTTGCTTATAAAAGCAGAAAACATACTGAAATTTAAAAAAAAAAAAAAAATCAAACAGACTAGAGCATTTACCAGTCTCTTCCATTTATATGATATAGGTGTTAAAAATATAAAAAATACAACTGATGGAGAAAAAAAATTCCATAAGCACAGCTATGTATGACTTCTTTACTAGGCTGATTTCCACAGTGAAGTCAATGTAAGACCACGTGAAGTTCTATTTTTTTGTAGGGAACTTACAGCTTGCCTTCCCCTCTTCCTGTGCTGCATTACTTAATAATGTATAGACAAAGAATGACCACAGTTATCACAGACACCATGTTCTGGCGTATAACAACTCCTAACAGGACTCCAATGAACATGGTATAGGAAAGCTCAAGGAAATTCAATAATTCAAATGAGCCACATGCACAGGTAGAAAAACATTATCGTCCTAGAAAACAATGAGGCAGAACTATGTTAAACTTCAGTTTTTGTAAGTTAAAACAGTTAAATATCAGCAATTTCCTAGTTAAACACAACATTAGAATGTGGGTCTTCCAGATTATTCAGATATCTTTATAGGACCATTATGAAGGAATAAATAATCTAAAAGAGGAAGCTAGAAATGCTAAAAGACAACTACAAAAAAATGATATAAGATTCTCTCTGATAACCAGAATGACCACTCAAAGGGTCACCTTTATGATCTCATGCTCCCTCAATGAAAAGGACAATTACTTAAACATAATCAAGCACAAATTTATAGGAGTCTAGTAGTTTCTATTGTTGTGTTACTGCTGTTGCTGCAACAAAACCCTTACCGTATGGTGAGTTCCAGTATTTGAGCAAGTCTATCATGAAGCAAATTTGCCTAAGAAGAAAAAAATGTTATGAAAGGATTTATAATTTTCCAAATACCCAATAATACAAATGTAATTTAATGAACAATCACAGCTGTAACTGTTAGATAGTACAGAATGTGGGGTTTTTTGTTTGTGTTTTTTGGTACCAGGGATTGAACCCAGGGGCACTCAACCCCTGGGCCACAACTGAAGCCTTTTTTTTTTAAAAGAAAATATTTTATTTAGAGACAGATCTCACTAAGTTGCTTAGGACCTCAGAAAGTTGCTGTGCCTGGCTTTGAACTTTTGATCATCCTGCCTCAGCCTCTTGAGCTGCTGGGATTACAGGCACGTGCAACTGTATCTGGAAGTAAAAATTGTTTTTAATGTTTTGATTTGTCTCATTTATTAGAATTTATTTTCTCTTATTGTTCTTTCTTAGTTACAAACTGACAAACACAAAAACAATCACAGCAAAATCACCAGAAACCACTATGGAAAAAGCATCAAAGCAACAATATTCACTGATATCCAGTGGGGATCTGCCATTTCTATCAGCTTATATCCCATTAAGAAATAATTCAGGCTTCACAGCTAATCCCTGAGAGATTTTGTCCCTGTCTAGTACCTATCCCTGTGTTCTCTGATTTGCCTTAAGTTTGGAACTTACCAACCAATTACCAAAGTTTCTACAAAACCACTTTTACCATCTATTCACTTACTTTGGATTCACACTGTGCTGCTATTTCTTCAAAAGGTGCTTTCTGGAATTTCTCTATCACAAGACGTCTCTTTTCCTTTTCCTGTTCTTCCATTCCATTGGTATCTGTGTAAGTTTACATAAGGATCCATTAAAAGGAATAGTTTCATAAAATCCTGCCAATGATCAAAAAAGCTAATGATCTATCAACCAAAAATAAAGGCAATTTAAAGAACTATTCCATAAGGAAAAAAAGCAAAAGGCATAACATTCTTAAAATGTCTCATTAAAGGTGAAATAATACACACACATTAAAAAACTGAACAGAATTAAAGCTACATAGCAGAAAATCTTTCTGTCTGTCTCTCTTATCAAAAACATAAAAAAAGAGAGAGAATGGTAACTTTCTACAGGTCAAACAACATCAAGAGCTTTCCTGAAGAATGATTCCTTTATTTATAACTATGTCCTTGCACATATGAAGCACTAAATATTGCTTGACTGATTCTTGACGCTGAGTGAAGTAACAGAAATACAGACTGGGTCACACAGAATCACACTGAACCTGACCACAACTTGGGAAGGGGTTTTTATATTAAGCTGATGTATATACGACTCACTCAAGTTTGTGAAAAAGTAAAATAACAAATGTATCTTTTTGATATTACTGACATAACAGTGTTTGCCTGCTAAAGAACACAGATATGGTGAGACAATTTTAAAAGCTTAAAGAATGAGTTTTATTCATAATTTATTTACTTAAAAAAACAAGGATTTTTGTTTGTTTTTTTTTTTACCATATTGCCTTTAGTTATTTTATCATCTAAAAAAAACACCAACATAAACATGCACATCAGATAGAGCACTAATCTCTAGGGTATCTCTCTCAAAAAGCTAAGTACCAAAAATACAAATAACTCAAATCAATAAATGGGCCAAGGACCTGAACAGACACTTCTCAGAAGAGGACATTCAATCAATCAACAAATATATGAAAAAAAAATGTTCATATTGCTAGCAATTTAGAGAAATAAAAATCAAAAAACTAAGATACCATTTCACTCCAGTCAGAATGGCAGCCATTATCAATACAAACAATAGTAAGTGTTGGTGAGGATGTGGGGAAAAAGGTATACTCATATACTGCTGGTGGGGCTGCAAAATGGGGCAGCCAATATGGAAAGCAATATGGAGATTTCTTGGAAAATTGGGAATGGAACCACCATTTGACCCAGCTATCCCTCTCCTCGGTCTATACCCAAAGGACTTAAAAACAGCATACTACACAGACACAGCCACTTCAATGTTTATAGCAGCACAATTCACAGTAGATAAACTGTGGAAGTAACTTAGATGCCCTTCAATAGATGAGTGAATAAAAAAATGTGGCATATATACACAATGGATATTACTCAGCAATAAAAGAGAATAGAATCATAGCATTTGCAGGTAAATGGATGGAGTTAGAGAAGATAATGCTAAGTGAAGTTAGCCAATCCCAAAAAAAACAAATGCTGAATGTTTTCTCTGATATAAGGAGGCAGATTCATAGTGGGATAGGGAGGGGGAGAGTGGGAGGAAAGATGAACTCTAGATAGGGCAGAGGGGTGGTAGGGGAAGGGAGGGGATATGGGGTTAGAAATGATGATGGAATGTGATGGACATTATTATCCAAAGTACATGTATAGAGACATGAATTGGTGTGAATATACTTTGTATACAACCAGAGATATGAAAAATTGTGCTCTATACGTGTAATAAGAATTGTAATGCATTCCACTGTCACATATAAATAAAAAAAGTAACTAAAAAAAAGAAAAAAGTATAGTCAGGTATCGTGCCACGTGCTCCCTTTGCACATGGTTAAAAGAGTTGAACACTGAACAATAAAAGAAAGTTTGTGGTCTTTGGATCTGTAAATTGATAATAAAAAGCAGGCAACATTAAAAAAAAAAAGATGAGTTAGATATTAGAGAGTTAACTAGTGCAGGATATCTCACCAATTGCTTTCTTCAATGTTTCAAAGGTAATTTCTTCAGTGTTACTAACCTAGAGAAAAGTGATTCAAGTAAAACAAGGATTAAGAAAAGTCAATATAAATAACACCTTCACCTAGTTATGAGTCATCTAGGAGCTTTCACAACAATTTCTTCTTCTCTATGTTGGCTTCATTTGTGACTTACGCTCTAGATATCAAGTAGTCTCCACTTTTTCACTAAGTGTAACACTGGCCTACTGCAGGGTTTCCCAAAAACAAGCCTACAGATTAGCATGAGACTAGCAGAAATAGGGCTGCAGCAGCAACTCAGCCATTCTGTATTACAGAATAGTCTCCACTATAGATATCCCCCCGACCCAACTGTGAGTGATATATGTATGATCAATGATTTGAAACAGGCTGAGATTATATGGACATACATCTTTATTTATTTGTTTGTTTATTTATTTATTTTTGATACCAGGGATTGAAACCAGTAGAACTACTGAGCCACATCCCCAGCCCTTTTTTATATTTTATTTAGAGACAGAGCCTTGCTAAATTGCTGAGGCTGGCTTTGAATTGGTGATCCTGCCTCTGCCTCCTGAGCCACTGGGATTATCCATGCCCAGTTTATGAAAATTTTTAGCTATATGGTAAATAAGAACTAAATATTCTATAGCCTCTAAATTTTTGGTGTTATATGTAATTTACAACTCAAAAATGAAATAATCTAAGATTTCAAACTGTTTAAAAGTAATAATCACTATTTTGGCAAGTGTTCAATGAACAAAATCAACATCTTAAGCATATTCTGGATCTTGTGAGGTCAACCACCAAATTTCTATTTTCTGCAAGTGTCCTTCAACTGGAGCTCTCAAATATCTTTTACTTGGAATTATGTAAAAGATATGAAATCAAACATTTTATGATTTTTTAAAAAAAAGTTCAGAACACTTTTTGTGGCACCAGCATGTTGTCAGAAGGCATAATAATACATCCAGTTACTACAGTATCTCTGAATAACAATGAAAAAATGATATGTGAGTACTTGCCTGGACTTTGGTCATCCCTAATTTTAGCTCATGAGCTTCTTTTGCTAAGTCTAAGGCAGCAAGACTAATGAAAGCAAAAGACTTCCCGCTCTGCACCTTAGCTTCTCTGTAATACAAAGGCTTTAGCTGGAAACCAAGCAGCAAGAGATCCACTACCTCAGCTTTCCTACTGAGGGTTCACATTTCTAGTTGAAGTCAGATTAAACTTGGGAATCTTCAGTTGCTCTGTTCTAGATATTTGGAGCAGACATACAAGATTAGGCTCTGGCTGATTAATTACCTGTACCAAAAGTAATCTAGTACTTTAATGAAAAAAATGACTCTCTGTTGGTTTTAGACGTGGCTAAGCGCCAAAGACAGGAGACTTTTAAGAAACAACTAAAGTACAGTAGAAATGAGAATGCTAGCATTCTTGCTACACTGTTTTTTTTTTGTTGTTGTTGTTTTTTTAGTTTATAAAGATTATTTTAAAGTTTGAGCAAGTATTCAGCAGTAACTGGTAAATAGCTTTTATAAATTTCTCTGGTCTTCTATGAAATTAATTAATTAAATTTTGCCTAGGAGGTAATTTTATTCTCTTTTGGTATCTGAACAACCTTTTCTAATATATAAAAGCAGATTCCACAATTGTTAATAATGAGTTTTAAATTCAAATGTCCTCAAATAAATGTGATACTAAATTGTACTTTCTATATACTCAATGCTAAACAAATATGTCTCACACTTAGGACTTAGCAAAACAAAGTTTTTGAAAAGTTAATAAATGTATTCGTGGGCACTTAATGTAAAATGTAATATATTCCTCCTATATTACATTTGTGCAAATGTGTTTCCAATTCATTTTATCAAAACAAACTGACGCTTGTCAAGTTTCAAGTGCTACATACATATTTTTGTATGAAAATTTAAAAATTAGTTAACAAAAACAGAAAGGAAAGCCTTCCTCTGTACATTTATGAATATATTCATGTACACAGTGAATCTTGCCATCGTGTACATCCACAAGACAGGGTCCTAATTAGTATATATATTCCATGCTTGTACAATCATGTCAAAATGGACTCTACAGTCATGCACAATTTAAAAAAAAAACAATAAAATTTAAAAATTTTTTTAAAAAGGAGAATGGAATAATATATGCTGCACCCCTTGAAAAATTAAGTCTATAAACTAAGGCTTTGAATGAATTCTTCCCTAACAAAGGTAATACCAGCAAATTTATAATTAAAAGAACTCTCCTTCCTAGGAATGTATAAAATTAAAATGACTTTGAAGAGGCAAATTTAGAGAAGATTTCTCTTAAGTTTATACTGGCAAGCAACTTTAAACCAATCTTAATGCCTTAATGCCTTTAATTTCCCTCATAGATGAAGTTTTGACACATAATTTATAAAGGTAGTGAATATGTGGCTTCACAAAATGCATAAGAACTGCCTGTTCAACAACTTTTGATGCTCTACTAATAATTTCTTAATATAGCTGATGAATTTTGTGTAAATGAACAGAACATAGAACATACAAGTTAGTTTACTATTCTCTGATCACTAAATAATTTTAATTTCTGAAAACGAATTAACTGACAGGGGATAGGGGAGAAAGGAGAATGAGAAAGCACTAATTCAGACAACTTCTTTCTTTCTCTTTTCTTATATGGAGATATCTTTAATTATTTTTATTGTGCCAATGAAAAATAGTAAATACCCTAGGAAGGGAAACAATAGATACACTATGGCAGGTTGGCATTTCAGTACTTTTACTGGCCTATCAAAGCATACTCTGATGATTTGTGTAACATAAGTCCTAGAGAACATTGACTGCTTCTCCTTTCTATAACTCAGGAGGGCACATTCTTATGCTCTACTGAAACAGGAGGAGAGCAGCCACAGTTCTTAAAGAGTACAGTTTATTGATTCAGCTTAAGCTACACACATCATATATGCTATTCATAATAATACAACAATTTTCCTTCACAAGTGAAGTTATGACACTTTCTAAATGTAGTGAGCATGTGACTTCACTTAAAAGTGTATAATTCTATTTGTTTCTGTAATTAATATTTGATGAATTTTAAGAAAATAAACAGGAACTAAGAGATCCTGCTAATTTAACAATAGGCCTTATCTAGCATTTATTTCCAAAAAAAAAAAATTAGTTGTGCTTTATAGTCCCTTTTACATTGAATTACAATGTAAAATCTAGTATATACAACATACAGTGTTAAGTTTATATATCTTTTAGATAGCTGCAATGGATTCTGTAATAGAAATTATAAAAAATAAACTAAATCAGATTAATTTCTATTAACAATTCAGTTGATCTGGGGATACAGTTATAGTTTCTCCTGTATAAAAGTATGGAGGGTAAAAATTTCTTTTAACTGATATCTATCACAACACAGTATTCCATGAACTAGCAGTCACTTACCACATCATCAGAAGGAATGGTATTGGGTAAAATATCCACCTGAATAGACACGGTATCCACAATACTTTTTCTTCTAGAAAGACGATCTTCATCTAAAATAAAAGTTGTTTTCTCTCATTATGTGTTACTTATAAATGTTACACTGATTTTTATTTGTAAACACTGCTTATTTCAGATTTTTAAAATTCAGAAAATTATGAGGTTTTTGTTCTTTCTAAATAGAGCAGTGTTTTCTCAGTCTTTTTTTTTTTAAGGAAAGTGTTATTTTTAATTAACAAATAATTAAACATACTTATGGGGTATAATGCAATATTTTAATGTGTGTATACATATGTGAAATAATCAAGTCAGAGTCATCAGCATATCCATCACCTCAAGTATTTATCAATTCTTTATGGTGGGGACATATAACATCCTCTCTTAGAAAGAAATCAGGAAAACAATTCTATTCAAAATAGCCTCAATAAATAAGTAAATTAATATCTAGGAATAAATATAACCAAGAAGAACACCTCTACAATGAAAACTACAGAACGCTGGAGAAAGAAATTGAAAAGGACCTCAGAAGATGGAAAGCACTCCCATGTTCATGGATAAGCAGAATTAATATTGTTAAAATGGCCACATGTCCAAAAACATTACAGAGATTCAACATAATCTCCATCAAAATAAAAATGACAAAAACTGCATGGTATTGGCATAAAAATAGACACATAGACCAGTGGTAGAGAGTAAAAGACAAAGATAAAGGGGTTGGGAGGAAGCATGGGAGAATTAGACGAACTCTAGATAGAGCAAAGGGGAGGTGGGGAAGGGAGTGGGCATGGGTGTAGGAAAGATGGTGGAATGAGATGACATCATTACCTTAAATACATGTATAAAGACACAAATGTTGTGACTCTAATTTGTGTACAACCAGAAATATGAAAAATTATACTCTATATGTATAATAGGAATTGTAATGCATTCTGTCATATATAACAAATTAGAATATAAAGTAATAATAAAAAAATAAATAGCAGAAAAATGAAAAACTATGGCTATAAGGAAAAAGAGCAAAGTCATAACTAAATGAAACACATATATGTCCCCACTACAACTATATGAAACACATAGGCTACTGGCTCCATCTCTAAAAGGCCCATGTGACTAAGCTTGCTCCTAGGCACAGGTGGGGAAAGGCACACTACACTTGTCAGTTGCATTTACCTTTGTATTTGTGCCTGGGTTTATGAGGTTTTTTGCTTGAAGGAAAGAGAGCTAAATTCAAAATTATAAAAATGTAATATTTTAAATATCCTTTTAAAAAATTACTTTAAACTACAAAGCTCTATTAATGTCTCATTCTTAGCATTTTTATTCCCCCCATGGAATTTATGAGAAACAATCTTTTATACTACAAATTTTAAAAGAAAATGCAAAAGCATTAACAATTCCAACTACTATAAACTATCACTGTAAGAAATGTGTATATTTCCCATGTTATGGAAAAGACCGGCATTTACAAAGACTATACTACTTTTAGTAATTAATCTAAAAAATTATCTAACTGAAATCAAATAGTTCTCTAATAGAACAAAGGTATTCCCAAAGGATAAATTAGTTCTTCCACAAAATTTAGCATTCCTATAATCATTAAAATTAGAGTATAAGAAACTCTTTGATTTATTTTTTAAAGAAAAAATTGAAAGCAAGACACCATTTAGTTTTGCCTTCAATCACAATTGCATTATTTCAGGTGAAGGAAAGAACAGAAGGAAGTATACAGACAGAAGAAATGTAAAAAGCTTGTACGTTTCTTTACATAGGAGTCTATACTTTTTCAAAGGACAAACATTTCCTAATTCATTAAGCTCAATAATCACAAATCACTTATTAAACAATTCCTACAAATCACTTAAGTAATTTCTGTGTTAGATATAATTATGTATAATGAAGGAAAGATTTCATTTTGTTTTTCTGTTTTAAAGGATAACATTAGACATAATAATCCATGAATGTAATATCAACAAAAATAAATCATTAAGCACTTGATTTGCTTAGGGTAAAATCATATCTACATCTGTAGAGATTTACCAAAGGTTTTCAAAAGTAAAACAAACAGTTGAAAAAATCTGGGCTACATAGTGGGTGTACATAAAAAGAATTACTTTTCCTTACTAATTGTATAATGAAAAAATTGAAACATAATCACCAAAAGAGCTGTAGTTTTTTTCCTCTTACCTGTTACTTGGGGTACATATGGTACTGACAACCTCTCAACACTATATCCACTTCCACCTAGTGACTCTGCAATCTTATTGGTCAGAAAGTACAGATTTTTGTCATGCTTCTCTAAAGATTTTGGAAGTCTGTTCAGGTTGATAAAAACAATAATTAGTCAGTATTACTTAATGCTGAGCAAAGGTAAGTAAATAAACAAAATACTGCAGAGCAAAAGCCTCATTATTCTAAGATAAACATAAATTAACCTACAATTAATAACAGAAACATCAATATGCTATAGGTCATTAATCTGCACTCTCTAAGATCACTTGGCTTGTGGTCCCATCCTAGCCACACTGTTAGTATTCTTCTCCCAGTAATGCTCCAATAGTGAATTCAACCTTATATTACTGGGCTGATATCCAAACACTAAGTAATAAAGAACATTGAATTCAGTTTTAACTTTCGTGCTAATTAAAAATCTGTTGAGAGGAAAACTAAAAATGCGTCTCACTGATCACTAATGAGAATCCCCAGCCAGCTAAGAGACAAAAACACCTGCCCAACCACTTGAGGTCTGGTTTTCCTTTCACAGGGCCAGTAGTATCACAGGCTGATGTTTTCGATACAACATGCTCTCAGAGCCCAAGATCTTGAATCGGATATGAGTGTATTATTATTATTCATATATTTTTTTTCTCTGGAGAGCAAGGAAGAATAATGGGCATAACATTTCCTTTTAGCCTCTGCCCCACAAGTTTATGAGTATACTTATCTATCACTGAAAGTCAAGATATCATAATCTCTTAATGGAATGCTCATTATGTATGAAAGCATCTAAAAATGCTGTAGTTAAGAGAGAGATCCCCACATTTTAAAGAGCAAGACAGATCTTTTTTTCTTCATTTTTTTCAAGTTTGCCTCCATGCATGCATGAGTCTACATTTACAAAATGCAAAAATTCTACAACAAGGGAAGAAGTTAGATGAATTAAACGATGGAAACCCAAAGTGATGATTGTGAAACACTAGAAAATTTTTATAACAATAATTTACTCCCTTATAATCACTGATTGTTTTTTCTAATAAGCCTTTCCATAAAATATACTGAATGAACGTACAGGCACTTATCTCTGAAAATATGCTCTGGTAGAAAATAAGGGGCTTCCATAGTTCGAATTTCAATAACCTGAAAAATATCCAAAAACAAAACAAAACAAAACTCAAAACCTTCACCTCTTTAGGACCTTGGCTAAGACAATCTGAAAAACAACATCACAGTATTCAAAATAAAACCTTTAAACATTTATGTAAAATATCACTTTATTTTGGAATTCAAGCTAGGTTTAGAGTCCAGATATATAATTCATCTTGTTTACACATTTATTATTTAAAAATTCAGCAAATAAACTTATGAAAATAATAAATGAAGTAAAAAAATAATGATGCATTATACTTCCTTAAAGCTACTATAAAATCACTCATTTGGTAAACCCTTTATGAACCACCATCTTCTACCTTCTGTGCACTTTTTGCAGCCTGTCATGAGATCTCAAAGCACGTGTGAGGTCTTGCTCCTCAAAGGATCTGAAAGCAACTTAAAGGGAGTCCTCTGCTTTCATAATATTTGTGAAATATTATTTGTGCTTTCATAATATCTCCAAAGGTGGGCATTCAACAGTCACATGTTTGTTTAACATAAGATTGAGTTTTCTTGGAATGCATTAAAAACCTATATTACAATAAGGATTGAAAGACATGCTTCCAATTTCATAAAAATGAGGTTCTCTCTGACAAATGTCTTTACAAGTGGTCTTTCTCAGGTAAGTCACAGGCTCTGAGATATATATTAATTCATGTGAGTTACTCAGGAGTTTTTGCTGAGAAAAATAAAGTTATTGCTGAAAAAAGCTAAGCATACTTGAAAGACAACAGTATTCAAAGAGGTACATTAATCATTCAACTTTTGGAATTTGTCCGGTATAAAATAATAATAGCAATAAAATAAAAAATAATATAACTTAAGAACATTTAGATAAATAAAGATTCATAATGGCTCAAAGGAAAAAAAGTACAGAATAAGATACCACAGAAGAAAAGCATGTATTCTATTCAACCACATTAAAAAATTCTAATAAAACAATAGCTGCAGTGTTAGTTGCAGTTTTGATTTACAGGATTATCATAATAATTTGATACATAATCATCAAAGTTAAAAATAATTATCACTTAAAATAAATCATTTGTGTTCAACCTCAAGTTTATGGTCTCCATAAATACCTTACCTTGCTAACATGCTGGCAAAATGCAGGAACAGCTATCATCTGACTTACAAAGTTGAGATATGCTGCAACCAGTGCCATGATCCCGCAACGATGAAACATGGGCAAATTATCTTCGTTGATAATTGCACTATCCTTTTAATAAAAAACAAATACATCTGACAGGTTAAGAACTCCATCAATATTTTCTCTATAATTACACTGGAATAGTGCAAGCAGTTTGAAATGATAAAAAAAAAGTCAACTTTTTAGAATTTATTTTTAAAAAGAATTCTGAAAGGAGAACAAATGCCTATCTATAGCAGAGTTAAATTTTTCAATTTATTAAATGTTTTTTTCCTTAGGAAAACCTTTCCTATTTATACACATATATAAATACACACACACACACACACACACACACACACAGAGTGCCCAAGCGTACAACATTGCATACTGTCCTTTTATTACACAGTACACAGTCTAATTAAACAATGTTATATATAATTATAATTTAATGACTATTTTCTCTTTTAAATTGAAAGTATGGGTAAAAGGCTGTGTTTACCTTTTTCATCACAGTATTCAGCTTCGATATTTAGCAGTCAATATTCATTTATTAAAAGAACAAACGAATGTAACCATAATCTTGAGAACTTAAAATTTACAACAAAACATTACTCTATCAAAATTAATGTTCTCGAATAAAAAAGGCAACAACTCTTTAGAGATAACATTGGCTTCATTTAAAAAGATTTCTCCAGTAAAAGATTAACAAAGCACACCTGTAGAGCAATGGCCAATCGAATGAGATCAATAACCACTTCTTCATTGGCCAATTCAATAGTGATAAGAGCAAGAGAAGTATAAAGTAGCTCATAGTTTTTCTGGACATTGTCTTCCTCCTTACAGCCTAAGTATATGTGCCTATATAGCTGCTGTCCATTCTGAAAGACAAGAAAAAGATAATTTTGCTTAAGATGTAATAAGAGCAGATTTCACATGCAAATAACCTTCTACAAAGTAATTAATCTTATTTCATACCCTAATGTGAAATTTTCATCAAACCGAATAGTCAAATTGTACCGCAATGATTAATATCACAAATTTATTTTCTACAACTACAAACTAAGATTAAAATTGAAAATAAATCTTATGAAAAAACATGAAGAAACAGTTCCACAGTAAATAATAAAAATGCTTTTAGTAATTATTTGGGGGGAAAAAGCAAATTATGGATTGATTTGAGGAAAATGTGAAATGAATAGCAGAATTCTGGGAGATACCACTGCAACACAGCATTGGTAATAATAAAGCACATTTTGCTGAGGGGAAAGGACTCTGGCTTTCTTGTTTTGAGAACAATCCCATGCTGTGGCATAGGAGCTCTTTAGGAAATAGCATGTAGGTGCTCCTATACTTTGGAATGAATCTCCAAAGATGAGTCTAAAGCCTATTTATAGGAGGAGGTTGCAGTAACTCCCCAGCTATTACACAGAGGTGACCCCCCTAATCCAGACCTAAGTATGTTGATTAAAATATTATCCTAAATATGTCACTAAAAGACATAAAAGCCTTTCCTATCTAAACTATTTCTGTGATAGATGTAACTTCCAAATGAGAGCTAAAAGAAATATGAGGGTGTTTCCCATTTCCAGTCACTGTGTGGTAATTAGGTTCACTTGGGGAGCTAGCCCTCAAACCTAACTGTAAACCAGAACACAGGAAAAATGGAATGGCCACCATGTTTCTGCCTCCCCTGGTATGATGGAACTGGCCAGTGGCCCATCAGTGTTTCTAAAGTATATGGTTCCCCAGGTGGGTAATATGTGGACAGTGCTAAGAACACTAGAGGCCACTCTCCCATGTGCAATGACTACAGCTCCAGCCTCTTTCTCAAGGGATTTGTCAGACTGATCAATTTGGAATGACCTGCTGAGCAAGAACAACACAGACTCTTCTGGAGGCAGCCTGCCTGTCATGCAATGCTCTGATCTGTGCTTTAACTTACACTAAGGTCCCATTCTGGTAGCAAGGTCTGTTTTTTTCCAGCTTTGACAGTCACTGACTATGTAAGTCTGTTTAATTTGGGTACAGTGTTTGACACATCTTTCTGGGGTTCCAAAAATGCAGCTGTGCTCAAGCATCCCACTAGAATCCTTTATTCTGAAGTTGGTATTAGGTTTTAACCTTTCTCAATCCTTAGTTTCTCTGTTTCTCAAATGGTTCAATATTTGGGTGGAAAAGAGGGTCTAATGTGGTAGACTCTCTAAATTCTAAGACTGCTCTTGAAACCTATGGTTCCTAAACATCATTCACAAATATTACAGCAGTGTTTACATTCATGGCAGTTCAGGTCTCAGGTCTCCTAAGTAATTCAATTTTTTTTTAATCATCTACTATATGACCACCATATAAGATAAAAATAAGATTTGGCAATATGTACTATAAAAATGTAGTCTAATTAGGTGTAATGACTTCATGAAGTGGATTGGCATTATCTAGTGAGTCTAAAGAATGCATAATCTACTACTTAGGAATTCCTCTCATACAGACCTTAAAAAATGAGAATTATATACAGCATACTACACACACTGCCATGTTTACAACTGCACAAATTATAACACCCCAACTGGAAACAGTTCAAATGTCTGCCAACAAAAGAACAGATATCTTCTGTATTTGTATCAAAAATACTACTAAAGCTATACACCTGGATAGAGCAAAATGAAAAAAAAAAAAAAAACCCTACACATTAAAGAATATACAATATACTGCTCCTTTCACACAAAATACAAAAACAGATAAAACTCAATAATAATTGTCTAAAACATCAAAACAAGGATTACCTGTGGGGAGAGGATAGACTTATGAAGACAAGAAATGTAGGATACTTTTGTTTAAACTTGTTCACTTGAAAATAATTAAAATAATGACTATATTTTATAATTAATAATAAAATGTTCCTTTTCCTACATTAACAAAAAGAGCTTTCACAAGGCAAGGAGCTATATGATGAGTTCACAGTGGGAGTCTCAGTGGGAGCAGCTGTTTTCTCTAAAAGCTTCACAAGGAGATAAGACAACAACATTCCCTGATGTAAACTGTAAGGGACCTGTCCTGGGACCATCTTTCAAACAGATTCAATGTCTAAGATGTCCCCAAAACATGCAGATGGACCGGTTTTAGGCTGGGTGGGGACCAGCAAAACAGCTGCCTGAACACATTGTGCTGCTCTGTGGTGCACAACATGTGGTAAACGAAAAGATGCTCTTACAGAGGGGCATTGTCCTATCCTGTGGCTTTAGAATCACATTGTTTTTCTCTGGATTGCTGCAGAAATTTTACCAAGTAAAATTTCATTTGAAAATCAAACGTTTTTACAAATAAAATGAGTAAGAAAATAAATGAAAAAGGATACCAAACTATGAAAATAAAAATTTTATAAAGAAAGAAATGTGAAGAGATTACATCTAAAGAAAAAGATTGCATTAGGAATGGTTTACACTAATGGTAACAAATGCTTAGCCAGTAAGTTATTTGTGTTATAAAACAGAGGGATAATTGAATCTGAAAACAGGCTAAGCATTCAAAATTTAACACAGTTAAATCATAGCCTTTCAAAATTAGTTGAGAAGCACAATTAATCACAGAGAGGTATTACTTCTATGCTATCATAACACATAAGATAAAATCCAGACTTGATTTTCAGGATTGTTTAAGGTTGTCATATTAAAGCATAAACGTGCTTTCAAAATTCATTATATTAGTCATGATTACAAGTTCCTCAGTTATGTGAAACAATTTCTTTTATTAACTGAGTCACATAAAGATATATGTTTTTAAGAAGTTAAAAGGAGTTAAATGTCTCTGTCTAGTTCTAGTTTTTAAGTCCATAGTACAGCCAAACTTAAAGAATTAATTTTATTCAAAGGATAAGACTGATTTAAGAAGTGATATTTTATAAATTACTTTTCCAATGAAGTTTTAAACTGTGAAGGTATTAACTTGACACATAACAATCAAAAGTATTGATAGGGCCAGTAACATTAAAGATGATGGCAGGGAGAAAGAACAGTCTACTAAAGAGGCAAAGGAGCACACGGATTAGATTTGTCTTTGCAAGTGTCTCCCATCTCTGCACCTCTAAACACAGGGCCCTCTTACTCACTAAAATCAAAGGCATCTGTGTACATCTCTCAACATGAAGCTCAGTGTCAGCCAAATATTAGGCGACCAAGCTCTGGATAACTAGTAACTATGTAGAGAGCTTTCTCAAAACACTAAATGACCTTGGCATCATTTTCTAAATTTGAACATTTCTAACAGACATACAGAATTTATTCTTCCATCATAGAAATCTAGCCAGATAAGACTTATTAAGGGCAGAGACCCTACCTAACTCATCTTTATATCTCAAATGCTGTGTAGAATACAATCTAACAAATAGTAAGCATTCATTATAGTTATTCATTCAATGAAGATAGCCATTTTCAAAAACTTGAAGCTCTTTATAAAAGAGCCACTAAAAGTGGGTTCATGTGTGTGTTTTGGGTAGGGGAGGAAAACAGGGCAGTAATTTCTCTCAAAATAATGTTGAAGCAGCCTAACAACCCACAGTTCACACACAGGCTAGAAGAGACACTGCAGGACTGCCAGGGGCATGGAAGGAGGCTGAAGTTGAAGCATGAGGTCTTTAAACTCTAAGTTCAGGGGGTTCATTTTAAGGTAAGAAATCAACATAAAACAGCTAACAATTCAAATGACTATAACTTATAGCATACATTTTATTTTTAGAAAATGATCTTACCTTTTTCATGAAACTTGTGTCTTGTCTACAAATTTTTTCTCTTTTTATCTTTAGGTCAGCTACATCTGGTATTATTCTAGAGACAATGTATTATTTTTAATTAACAGTACATTTGGTTACAATATCATGTCTTACATGGAAAACTATATTTAAGCTCAGGAATATGAACTATTTAATACTCATTTCAATAAGCATTTTAAATATGCCTATCTGAAATGATACTACTGAATTATCAAGTTTAATTAAGGAATGCATAATCTTGACTGCTTGTCATTACTAAATTTAAAGCAAAACTACAAAGTAAAAATAAAATCCACTTAACTAGACATGGCTAGTAGATGAGAACTCTGAAAAGTATATTAAAATCCACACCAATTTAAAAAACTGAAAATTCTACATTTAAAAAAAAATCACACAACACTTAAGTAACATATTAATCCAGAGTAAAAACATTATGTAGCTCATTTTAACATGACACATCACCTGATCCCTCGAAGCTTTGCCCTATTGTCATGGCGATCCATGAGATTGTGCATTACTTCCAAGACTAACTGCCTCAGTTCATAATCTTCCATGAGAGATGGTGATAACAAAGGATCCAGAAAAGACCCTGGCAGTGCAGTAACAATCGTCTTGGCTTTGTAACCAGAGGTTACCTATTCATAAAGATGAAAATAAAAAAATGAAAAATATTTGTCAAGAGTCTTTCTTTGGTAAAGTTCTCACATTATTTTCTAAAATCATACATTTAGGGAAACAGAAAGTATGGATATAAGCCTAAAGGAAAGATACAAAGAAAGTTTATAAGGTGATGAAGGATTTTACTGAATGTACAAAAACATCTTTCATAAGAATAAAATAACAATTAATTTACCATTTGCTAGGCACAATTCTAAGCATTATATATGTATTAACTTTGTCTTCTCCACATCCCTGTAAGACAGGCTCTAATATATCCCGATCTTATAAAAGGAAATTAAAGTTCTGACAGGTTAAGAATATACAGAATACGTAGTCAGTACGAAACAGATGAATATAAGGAGACCAGGTGGCAAATAGTAAAGACGAGAACTGCAAATTTTAAATTTAAGTTTGTCAATTATTTTTCTATTTTAAATAAAGAAGTTGGTTATATATAATATCCCCCCACTCTGAAAAGCTATACTTCATTAGTTACTTGATTTGATGTTTATGAGAGCATCAATATCTTCTAAAGCATAATTACCTGTGGAATTTGTTTAATATAAAGGTCTTAGAAACAAACAAAATTTCAGGTGGATAATTTCAACTTATTTTCAGGATTATAAGCATACATGGAACATTTAACATTTGTATTTGGGCACTTATTAATGAGGTGAAGTTGACTTTATTAATTAGTAGAGAAATCAATAGGACAATTTTCTTTCTATCTAGAAAAATTAAAAATACTCCATGCCTCACACCACTTATCTAACCATGACAAGACAAATTTCAAATATTTTTGTAAAAATGCTAAAACAAATGAGTTTATATCATCAGAATAGGCAAAGAGTTCTTAAACCAGACACAAATAAAAGGGGCAAAACCCATAGAAAAGAACTGATAATCTAGCTATATTACAATTTAAAACTTCTGCAAGCCAAGCAACAAATAATTAAAAATGAAAAAGGAAGATATTTCATACGTATCCTAGATGTGAGATATTTTCTTTAAAAATGGGGCCTCGATTTCTAGAATAAATTCGAAGGACAGTATTTGGAAGGACACACATTTCAAACAACCAGTACCTACTATATCCATGGCATTATGCTAGGTGCACGTGAATCAAACATGAGTGCAACTGCTATAAAGTAACCACAACATCTCCCATTTGGGGTATATATTTCCTTTTCGGCTATCTACTGCCACTCCAAATTTCAAATGACAAATTGTCATTTTTATGATTTGCTTTCCCAACAAGAAGAAAATGTTTGGACAGTATGTAGAAAATAGCACAATATGTAAAAGGAACTTGGGGTTTCCAAGTCCAGGATCTACCTTTTAGCTCACTGACCGCAGTGAACCTCAAGTCCTTCCACTCAAAGTCTCTTAGCCTAGGCAACTCCATCTGTGAGAGAGCAAGAGTTCTGCCCACTTTGATTCATCAGAATGAAGGTCAAAGAAAATAATAGAAGAATATCAGTGCAAAGCACAGAATTTTAAAAAATGAAGAGCTTAATATTTAGGTACACAAACCACACCAAAAAATAGTCACATTTTCTTATTAAATAAGAAATTAGACAATGTGAAATTATTCCTTTAATCTTTCCCATGCTTTGAGGTTAAGTGTGTGTCCTTCATCTGCATGAAGCACCTTACCATAAGCAAAGATCTCAGCAACATTATCTGAATTCGTCTGGTTCCCAAATCCCTAAAATATACAAAATGCTTGTATTATTAATGCTAATTAATATTCACATTACTTCATTTCCTTTAGTATATTCCACAATTCTAAACTTCACTCTTATAAGCTAACTAGATTTTCATAATAGCTTAAGTTGAGTCTCACTTTATGTACTAAAATACATTTCATATGAATTAAAACAATTATATGTAAAAAAAATTTAAAAAATAGGTTAACTGGCTCTCAAAGGAAACAATTCATGCATGTGATGGAATGAAAATTAAATCATATGAATACACAATTAGGTGACCCCAATGGTACTGAAAAATCACATATAACCCCCAAATTATTCCACAAATATGAATTATGATTACATGTTAATGAAAAAAAAAAGTGTTTTAGGAGACAGAAATGCTATCTTCTTTGAGCATTACACAAGTGTATAAATCTATCAAATTATCACATTACCCCATGAATATGTTCAAATACTTTTTAAAGAAAATTATATTTCCTTATTTGATTCATATTTCTTTGACCATAAATTAATAACCCTTTTTCTATTTGCTAATTCTCTTTTAAATTATCTGCTCTTACCTGTTTATTATTTAAGAAACTATCATATTCATCTACCATATTTATAGTAAATATTTTCTCCAATTTATACTCTTTTAAAATTATTTTAATTGTACCTATTCATGGGGTCTAGGGTAATAATTTGATAGATATACATAGGGTATAATGATCAAATCAGGGTAGTTAACATTTCCATCTACCTAAACATTTAAAAAAACTCTTGATTAGCACTTAATGATATACATACTTACGAGGTACAGTATAATCATTTTCTTATTAAATTAAAAAATAAACAGTCACAAACTAAAGCTTAAGCATGCTATCAAACCACATGCTATATAGTAAGGGAAGAAAACAGATCTTTGAAATCAATTTTGGTTATATAGTTGCAGGAAGAAGTCAACATTCCTCACATACTGACAATTTTTAAAATTTTTACAGAAAACCTGAAACTTTAGTTCATATATGGATGCATATACACAATGCCTAAGCTAATCAAGACTTTTATTTAGTTAATAAAGACATAGAAAATTGAAGCTGAAAAACGATAAGCTGAAAAATGATTCTAAAGCCATATAAAGGTTGACTTAATAAATATTTTCTAGATCAAAGATGAAATGTAACTGGAGATTAAGTTAAAATTTACAGTCTAAGAACATACCCTAGTTGACTGATATCCAAAGTATGAGTGGACGTTCCAAACACAGGAACTTTCCCCATAATGAACATCATGATTTCTGACCTCTGATAATCTGGTAGGTTACTTCCAAAAAATCCTACAAAAATATTAAGGTAAATGTTACAAATTACAAAGCTATTTTTTCTATATAATAAAAAATTATACTTTTAACCAAAGCTTTCTATATGTGATAAAAAAAATGGTTGTCTTGAAGCTAGATAACAATAAAGCTATTACAATTTCAGATGTCCAAAATCATGTCTAACACAAAGATGTATATGATGGATTAATACTTCCATAAAATGATAAATACCTGAAAGTCTTTTATGTGTAATTAGTAGTGGCAAACATCAGTGAGTTTAATTGATAGGAGTCTTAGAAAAAGGACAAAAAATGTTGACTAGTGTCTGATGAAACTTGTTCAAATACTGTGAGCCCCAATTCTTGTTCAATAGGGAAGTGCATAATTAGGCCACATTTTAGTAAAGAAGTCTATAATTCAGTTACTACTCTGGTTTTCCTAGGATTACCCAAACATTCTAAAAAGTCATTAAAATGTGTCAGGTTTTACAGTTTAACCTTGTGAGTTATTTCAATGCACATAATTTAACATGTTTAAAGAAATAAATATTTAGCTGATTTACTTGTAATTTTTTTTCAGGCACTCTTGGGTTTTGAGGATATTTTACATTTTTCTGCTGTAGCTTTTGATGGTTTACTTCTTGGACATAAAAGATTTACAAGGTTTTTCAATTATTCACACTTCAAATTTTCTCATTTCTCTTAAGATCAGAACAGATATCAAATCATGGTTAGTTTTGTTCTTAAAATTCAGCATAATCATTAAGAATAAATTGGTTCTTCAGTTTAACTCCTTAGCTTCTATTATTGCAATTAATAATATATTTATAAAAAGTCAAAGCATTCTATTCATCATTGTGAAAGGTCATCAATGAACTTTCTCCAGGTAAGCTGCTTTTTTTTTTTTTTTTAATTTTCCAGCCCCTTAAATATGATATACTCCTAATCACTGAAGCAAACTGGATTTTCTGTGCCCAACATGTCAATCATTACCACCTGACATAACATAGCCTGCACTTGTGTTTACTACAGCATCAGACTGATTATAGTACTACTAAATACTTAAAAAGAGGTAAAAAGCACTATTACACCTCCCTGCATCCAGGGTCAACCTCATCCAGCTGAGGTTCAACCATCATTAATTTATGGTTGAACCTCAGCTTTTCAAAAAGTATGGAATGGTTTCCTCTAATTTAGTGGTTCCCAAATTTTGCTACCTATTAAAATTAACTGGGGAGCTTTTAAAATGCTAATGTTCAGATTATATACCAATTTAACTAAGTCAGAATATATGGGTGTGGGAGTCCAGGCATCTGTTATTTCTTTAAAATCCTAAGATAATTTCAATGTAGAGCTAGGTTTAAAAACTAGTGCCTTAAGGGGAAAAGCTTCCTCTTCTTTCCCAAGTACATGTTCAACAGGGTCCAATATGTCTGTTAATTAGATACAGTAAGACTTAAAGAACTGACAAAAATCATAGTAAGATAAAAATTCAACTATTTCATGCTTTACAAGTTTTTTCTTTTGCCTTAAAATTGAGCAGGAACCTCCAATATGATCAAAAGTAAGGACAGAATCTTCAAAAACTTCTCATCTTATTTGTGTTGGACTACTGAACAGAAATGTTAATGGGCCCAGAAAGAAAGAACAGAGCAAGGAGATTTGTTTTTGAGTATTTTAATAGAAAGATGGGTTTGGCAAAGAGCCTCACCCAAAGTGCAAAAGTTACAAGAGTCCAGACCACAGTCCATATGGGACAGACACATCCTAAGATCCAAGAGCTACCAGAATACTCACAAATTCTAAAGGAAAATAAGAAGGAAATCAGAGGTGTGATTTTTTAAGAAGAAATTTTACTCACTGTGCAACATTGCCATTTCTTTTCTATGTTATTCTGAATGTTTTATCATAGAAATAATGAGTCTGCTATATATATTTTATAATAAATACTTGAAAAACAATACATTATTCTAGGTGACAACACTAACACTAATTAGAAGTTACTAAAGCAATACATTAGCCGATTAGATATATTATCTTAGAATATAAAATATAATATCCACTAAGATATGACATCTTAGTGGAGCCTAGAACTCAGCATCTAGCTTGTGGTGTCTAACACTATTTCCCATTTAAAAGAAATCATGGCTCCTTGGAAAAATACCAAACTGCAGGTCTGACACAGGAAATACAAAATTAGCTGGAGACAGCTTACCAAATAACACAGTACTCAAAAATTGGGAAGATGCTTAAACAACAAAGAACACAGCCTAATGGGGCACCCATTGTCCAAACCTGGGATAATATCTGAGCACCAAAATCACTAAGTACCATAATAAATTATAAACATAAAATATCCATATAAATAATAAATTAATGCATTTCTACATACATATAAAGGTAAAAAAGGGGGCTCTTGCTTACACTAGAATATTGGAAGTGAGGGAGGGAGTGCTAAAGTTTCAATCCAAAATTTTGCAGCCATCATGATAAAACAGTAATCACAAATGGATGAAAAATGTGCAGAGAAGGTTGAGTTAAGAGCAGAATATCCGCATGGTCTAAAAATGACTTCCCAGATTGCTTATATTTGCAAAAATTATTATTTGAAAAAATTGACTGTATGGTATAGAAATAAGATGACACCCTGATTGATAAAATTAACATTATCAACGAAGAGCAACCCATTATGCACCTCTGGTGAGCCACTCTTAGAAAAACATATCACTTTATGCTATATTCTAGCCAGGAATGAACTAACTGATTTTATTGATGTTGATGATTTTACCCTGGTTATATCAAAAAAATAAATCTTTATTCTTTGGAAAAATACACTGAAAAATTCAGTGGCAAAATGCTATAGTGTGGTTTAGGAAAAAACATATAGGTGTATATGTATTTATTTTTTACACAAACACACACTGAGTGAGAGGAGAGGGATAGGTGGGGAGCAAATGAAAAAGAAAATGGCATAAAATGTCAACATTTTATGAATCTGTGTAAAAGATACACAGTGTTCTTTGTCCTGTTCTTATGCTTGCTTTTCCCAAATAAAAAGATTTTAGAAATATAAGCTATCATTCATCATGGACAAGTACGTTCCTTATGTGAGAGCTTTTTAAACCACTGTTGTACATGATAGTTTTGAAAAGTGAAATGTACTCACCTATTGTTTGGATGATGGCATTCTGCACAATCTTCTCATCATTGTCCTTAGAACTTGCATTTAAGGTGACACTGCCTACTGATCCCCCTTGCAAATCATTTGCTTCAAATTCAACACTAAGACGCAGATGTTTCAATAGGGTATTAAAGACTTCCAGCACTGTCGGCCCTGTGAAAGATCATCTATGTGAGCAGATGCACTTTCCCAGTATTATTTATATTCAAAAGCAATTCTCGTATTTCTCAATAGATTTTTTGGTAATTTCCGTTTTTAAAGTTTTTACTGGTGCATTATAATTACATATAATAGTGGATTCATTATGCCATATTCATTCATGCACATAACATAATTTGATCATTTTAATTCCCTAGTACTTTCCCTATCTCTCCCCTCCTTCTTCCCCCTGATCCACTTGCTGCTCTCCCTTCAATTATTATTATTACCTCACTTAGTGCATTAAAATTATAAACATAAGTGGTTTTCATTGTGGTCTATTCATACATGGACAGAGCATACTTTGGTAGCTGTTGTTTCCCCGCATTTCCCAAGTCCTTCCCTATGCCATCCCTCTGGATCCCTCTCCCCTACTCTATTGGTTTTCCTTCTGTATTCATTAGTCCCCCTTTCTTATGGTTATTTTTTATACACTTTAAAATACATAATAACTATGTAATTATGAAATAACCAATTTATTTTTTTACAAGTACATGAGAGATATCTAAATAATAAAGTCTCTTAATTATGCCAACCAACATTTACTGGGCATCAATGAGCAACTCACTGAATCTCTTATATAATCTGCATAAAATATGCAGCCAAAAACTTATCCTCTATCTACTGTGTACTGAGACATTATTTTTCTCAAAGTAATGTGTACTAGGACAATATTTAACTTGATTGATGGGTCAGAATCCATAAAACTATGATAATATACCTATATAATACAAAAGATTTATTTTGCATCTTTTGAGACTTAAAGAACTTCCCTTAATTATGAGTCAGAATTTATCAGATGCAAGTAAACTGACTTTTTTCCCATTAATAATTTCCATGATTCTCTATCACATTATATTTTAACTAGGGGTTCCCTTTTTGCTTCCTATCAATTATAAGTATCTCTAGAAAGGTAGCCATGACTAAATGCTTTTTCAAATGTAGAAAGCCCAGCACACACTACCCTCCAAAGAGTAGATGTTGATTAGTGTGATGATTCAATATATTGTGTTTCATTTCCTATTTGAAATTAAATATCTTGCCAATTTGGCAACTTGCTTTCATCTTTTTAAGATAAATAATGAAAGGTCTTTATCAAAAATATTCACCTTTATTCAGCACTGAAAGAATATTAGAATATTTCAATAGCTAATATATTTCTACTTTGATTTTGAATCAAAGTAACTACTATCAGATTCTCCTTCTAATTTCTCTATTTCTATATCATGGATTCTTCCATTTTGCTAATCATTGTACATGCAGCATCATGATCTATGATTTGTTACTTCTCTTTACCTAAAGTCAGTCAGTTATCAAGTTCTATATTTTCATTTCTCTGCTGCTATTCATGAGTGGGTTCTTCCCCTATTGCCTTCAACAATGCCAGAAACTTATTTCTATATTTTGCTGCTAGATGAATTATCCTATATAACATCTCTGATAAAGATTAGAGAAAAATCTTTAAAGCAGTTTATCAATTGTAGAACTTCATCCATATTCTGGCTGCAATTTAACTTAAAAGCTAGTTCTCTGACTCCTTCCCAACTAACATCACACATTCTAGCAAAACTTTGCTCATGCCAATCCATTTTCCCCTCCCTTCTCTTTGAACCCTGGTATCTCATGATACATAATTGAAGTCTGCTTGTATTAGATTGTTAGGTGGAGTTGTCTAACTATAAGTAAACTACAGTCTGAATATCCTTTACCCAAAATGTTTGGGACCAGAAATGTTTGGGATTTCAGAATTTTTTAGATTATGGATTATCCACATATATATTATGGTATCTTAGGAACAGGACACCAAAGCTAAACAGAAAATTGGGCCTCATGTATACCTTGTACATAGAGGCCGAAGATAATTTCTTGTGGTAGTTTTAGCACTCCTGAATTTTGGGTGTGACCTGTCATATGCTGTTAATTGTGGGATTTTCCATGTGTGCCAATATGTTGGCACTCAGAAAAGTTTTGGACTTTGGAGCATTTCAGATTTTCAAATTTTGTATGAGGTTGTCCGACCTGTTACCACTTTTTCTTAATCTGTATTCTCCCAATGTTCAATACACAGATGATATAAATAAAAACTTTTTATTAAAAGAGACTGATTTGGAGGTAAATGCTTTAGTATGCTCTACTTCAACCTAAGAATAATGATATGAACCCCAAATTTCAAAAGAAATTGTGATACATATAAAAATGTGTGGAGATATTCTTAAAGAGCATTTCAGATACTGCTATGCCTACTGAAAGAACATTTGGAATAGATTAATGAATATTTTTATTTTATTCTTTTCTGTCACTCACCTATGGAACCTTTAGCAGCAATGGCGACAGCCTCTAACAGAACCTGAATAATACCTGCTCGAACACGTGGAGAATCTTTCTTACAAGCATCAAGATGTCCTAGAATTTCCTGGATCACATGGTGAGAATACTGAGCCTAAAAGGAAACCACAGAGTACAAAAATATAAATAAGCACATACATCCTAGTGGGATGTATAAGAATGAAAATCCATGTACACTTGAATAGACAGTTACAGGGGACTGGTGCTTACATTATCAGATAACGTGGAGCCATTAAAAACCATTCCTTTTAAGAATAAATAGGGATACCAGAAAATACTTCAGATATACTGAGTGAAAAAGCAATATACACATTCCCATCTGTTGTTTTTGGCAGTGATAGGGATCAAACCCAGGGCTTGCACATGCTAAGCAAGTGCTCTACCACTGAGCCACACCTTCAACCTTTCAATCTGATAGATATTACATATCATTACTACTCTTTTTTAAATATATATTTTTTAGTTGTAGTTGGACACAATCTATTTATTATTTATTTATTTTTATGTGGTGCTGAGGATCAAACCCAGCACCTCACACGTGCTAGGCTAGCATGCTACTCCACCACTGAGCCACAATCCCAACCCCTCATTACTACTCTTCACTTGATACCTCTTGAGCTAATATATTACCATAACACTGAGCATAGCAAAAATGATAATGACAAATGGCATTTGATCATTTATTCAGAAGTAACCAGATTCTGGATACTTTCCTAAGCACTTTTATATGTACTGTGTGCATAAACAGCACTAAGAGTTAGGTTCAACTCAATTATTCTGCACAATTCACACTACAAATGAGTTAGATTGTAGTAACTTGCTGAAAGTCATGCAGAAATTCTAAGGAATGGCTGAAAAATACATTCTCATCTGATTTCAGAGCCCTGCTCTTAATCACCCCTTATTATCTTCAGCTAATCAATTTGGTATAAAACTGTTAAACAAACTATTTTCCCTTATTTCCCACATATACGCTACTGTATTTCAAACTATTTTTATGAAATCCTTTTAGGATAAATCTGCTTTAGGCTGATTACTGTTTTGAAAGAGGTTAAAATATTATCTAATAATGACAGATACCTAACATCGATTTTGTGACACAGGAAATTAGCATCTATATGTAAAGGATAATATAAACAATCTATCAGAAGTTTTAATGATACCAAGATAGTGCTATTAATTGGAAATTCCTCTTTTGGCGTACACTACAATGTAATTGTTGATTAATGGGCTTTATACGTGTTGTAATTAAAGCTATCTCTAAAGCAATGATAGGAATAGATGTTGCTTTCTGAACATTTAATAAACAATTAATGAGTCTCAGTTTTTAAAAACTTTGTAATTAAGCTTATTAATTTGCTTTTTCTTCTTGCAAAGAAGAACTGTATTAGGAACTAAATATGAATAAAGGAGGGTGAATAAATGAGAAATATAAGGCTAGGAAAGACCAGAACAGCCTTACATTATATCCACTGATTGCATGCACTGATTACTTCTCATCTACTAAATTAAAATTAAATTTTAAAAGACTATTGTCCATCCCTATGTAAATTACCTTTATTACAACTATCATTTAATAAAAACCTATTTTATGCTAGGCATGTGATATCAATCTCAGCAGTTAATTTAGACCACAGTTCTGGAATAAAGTGATCAGAATTTGAAGCCTGATTTCAGTTTTTAACTGTATCCCTAAATGAGTTACTTGACCTCTCTGAAGGTCAATTTTCTGACCTATAAAATGGGGATCAAAATATTCAGCGGGTAAAAAAGACTAAATGAGATTAAAGCATGTAAGTTAGCACAGACAGCACTTGATAAATGGTAGCTTCAATTAGAATTTAAAAACCATTTAGTGTACTCATTAAAATTTTTTTCTGAGATGAAAAATAGAGCTCAGAGAAGTTAAAATAAATTTTCCAAGTCCACATAGATAGTAAACATCACATACAGGATGCAAATCCTGCTATAACATATATTAAAATATGTTCTGCTTCTAATGACTTTATCTACTTTAAAGCAATGATGACTTTTTAGAATATTAAAAATGTAAATAGTAGGCTGGGTGTGGTGGTGTTCGCCTATAATCCCAATGGCTCAAGAGGCTGAGGCAGAAGGATCACTAGTTCTAAGCCAGCCTCAGCAATTTAGCAAGACAATAAGCAACTTAATGAGACCCTGTCTCAAAATAAAAAATAACAAGGGCTGGTGATATAGCTCAGAGGGAGGGAGGGAGGGAGGGAGGAAAAGTGACAGCATTAAAAAATAAATGCATAATAAAGAGCACCACCATAAAATCATATAGTTCTTTTTATTAGATTTTTTTCATCATAGCAAATAAGAAACTAAGTGGTAAATGAAAACAGACAAAATACTAAATGAAGAATATTTTATTCCTACAGTTATTCTACTTCTATTCCATGATGTGTTTATTTATACAGAACCAAAATTACTTAAAATATAATAATTAACAAACCTTACCTGAATAGAATACATTATAATTTTAAAGCAGTGAACTGCAAATTCATTAGGATCCCACAGTTTGTGATGATCTAAATGCCTGTAATTAACAATTAAAAATTATTTTAAGAATTCCCTATTTTTATAATACTTTCTTCCTTTAAAACATTCAACAATAGGAAAGGCTTAATTGAACGTTATCTAAAAAAAGACCAAAGTTTTCACTTCCAGAAAATGTACGTATTTTTCTCAACTATCAACCCTTGTCACAAAACAACAACAAAATATCTGACTGAATATAAAACTATAAATACCTAGAGAGGGCAAGAAAGAAAAGTCCTCTCAGTCCACATGCCACAAGAGGAAAACACCTGGACAGGTGAGTGTACATGGAAGCCAGCAGGGTTCTGAGAATACCGTCTGAACCCCACTCCCCAGAGCTAGTAGTTGCAAAGGTTCTGAACATAGGAAGTCTAGAGACAAAGCTCAGGGTCCACCCAAGAAAGGCAGGCTCCCAGATCAGAGATCCCTATAGCAATTAAGAGACACCACCCTCAGAGAATCAAGGGGAACTTGCTGTAGTAAGAGACTGAGGTCTTGGCTCTAAGTGCACCTTGACAAACAAAAGCCCTTCCACAGGTTTCAGCCTCACACCCAGCCCTCAGGAGTCAGGCAATTAATATACACTATATTTTTCCTAGACATTTAGTAAGAAGTAAGTAGAAGGAAATGGAAAGGAGAAAAGTTTCTAAATAAATTTGTTTCTCTATATAAAAGAGTCATCTCACAAGGCCAGTGATTCTCAAAACATGTTCCTCAAACAATGTGTCTCAAAATCACCTGGAGATTGGATTAGAATCAACAAGGCAAAAAACAACAGATTTCCAGGCTACTGCAGCTCATTCACCAAGATCCAGAGGTTTGGGGGCCTAAAATCGTATATAATAAGCATTCTAGGGATTCTTATGCACACTACATTTTGAGAACCACTGTTCTAGATTCATATAAACAAGTTATTATTTATGAAATATTTCCAAAGTAGAGAGTTCCCTGATAGAGGGGTCACTCATGTACAAGGATGAAAAAGCAGAGCTACAGCCAAACTAAGCTGGCTGAGAGGTCTGAAAGTCAAAACAAACAAAAAAATTCAATTTAAACAATTCTAAAATGAAAATTGACCACATAATATACTCAGTTTGAGCAAATAATAATAATTATTATTATTTCTATGCTATTGCTTACAGTCCTTGAGTCTTCTTGTAAGAAAAAAATGTATTATGGTAACCTACTAACATACTTACCCTGGTTCAAACTTGTCCTATATTGTGGGGAGTCACCAGTGAATTACTTGAGGGTCTTCACTCAGTATGGAGCCATGGAAATTTAGGTTTTTCCTTGGGAACTATCCCGGCTCCCCCATGTGCATTAGACTGCCCAATGCACATGACCTCTATCTCCTCTCTACTAGGAAGACCCCTGTTGGGAACTGGACAGCCTACCTCCTACATTATTTGGCAAAGAACATTCCATGGAAAATCTTGATATTCCCCAATATAAATAAAGCAAGCACAGGCACCATCTTGCTTGCACTCTCTATTTTCAGTGTGGAAGCTCAATCCCTGAGATGGGCTAGCCCACCCTGGCCCCACTTTCTAAAAATATTTCCTGTGTTGAGATTTTTTTGCCGCTCAACCTTTTTAGCTTTTATTTCACAGCCAGCCCATTCCACCAAGAGGAACCCCATTTCCACCACTCATGTGGGATGTGGGCAGGACTATATAGATCTATATGATTAATATTCTCAGAGGGCAATTCTGGAAGACAACTTTGATCAAGGATCTCCATTCTTTATTAAGAGACTTAAATACAAATGTCAAGATCTCTTCAGCATAAACTTAACCTTCTTCTTTTTACCCTACACTAACCCCTGAACTGTACTCAAAACTCCTGCCAATGGTACCAGTATCTTGTGCTCACTGTTGCTTAGAAATATGATCTTCAAAACTGTTACTGAATCACTTATTTTATTACTAGATCAAGTAACAACTGAAAGAAAACCCACTACAATGTTAAAATGAAGAATTCTTTATTCAAGAGTAGTTTCTGATGTCTATTTCCACTATCTCAAAGTCACCACTACTAAATTCTCAAATAGACATTAATTCTTTGCTTTGAAGTACTAGATCATTTATTGGGCCTTTTCTTATAATCCATACTATAATTATTATAATGTCAATCATACATCAAGTTTATAACTCATTAGATATTCCTAAAATAACCTGGAACCTTCCTTGCAGAGGGTATCTGGTATTTAATTAAATAGCTAACATGTAATTACATTAATATTTAATTAACATTTTAATTTAACTAACACAAGATCAGGATTTAAGTTCAAGTTCTACATAGAATACAGCCCACTTCAAGTTACTCAATTCAAGTTAATTTGGATGCCTTTCTTCTAGGCTAGTTCCCTAAGACTTCATAAATTATCTCTCAATAAGAATAATAAGATAAACATGGAATTCTGATATTAAATCAGATATTGAACATAAAAAGTAAACCTGCCGTTAGTATTTTAACAAAATTCTGATTATTTTTTCGTAAAGCATACAGAGCCTTTAAAGAGTAGATCTCAAGGTTAGCATTTTTTCATGTACTTGTTGATTGATTGTATGTCCTCCTCTGAGAAGTGTCTGTTCAGGTCTTTGGCCCATTTGTTGATTGGGTTATTTGTTTTCTTATTGTTTAATTTTTTGAGTTCTTTGTATACTCTGGATATTAGGGCTCTATCTGAAGTGTGAGGAGTAAAAATTTGTTCCCATGATGTAGGCTCCCTATTTACCTCTTTTATTGTTTCTCTTGCTGAGAGAAAACTTTTCAGTTTAAGTAAGTCCCATTTGTTGATTTTTGTTATCAACTTTTGTGCTATGGGTGTCCTATTAAGGAATTTGGAGCCCGACCCTACAATATGTAGATCGGAGCCAACTTTTTCTTCTATCAGACGCAGAGTCTCTGATTTGATATCTAGCTCCTTGATCCACTTTGAGTTAACTTTTGTGCATGGCGAGAGGAGGGGATTCTGTTTCATTTTGTTGCATATGGATTTCCAGTTTTCCCAGCACCATTTGTTGAAGATGCTATCCTCCCTCCATTGCATGCTTTTAGCTCCTTTATCAAATATAAGATAGTTGTAGTTTTGTGGATTAGTCTCTGTGTCCTCTATTCTGTACCATTGGTCCACCCTCCTGTTTTGGTACCAGTACCATGCTGTTTTTGTTACTATTGCTCTGTAATATAGTTTTAAGTCTGGTATCGCTATACCGCCTGATTCACACTTCCTGCTTAGAATTGCTTTTGCTATTCTGGGTCTTTTATTTTTCCATATGAATTTCATGATTGCTTTATCCATTTCTACAAGAAATGCCGTTGGGATTTTGATTGGCATTGCATTAAACCTATAGAGAACTTTTGGTAATATCGCCATTTTGATGATGTTAGTTCTGCCTATCCATGAACAGGGTATATTTTTCCATCTTCTAAGATCTTCTTCTACTTCTCTTTTTAGGGTTTTGTAGTTTTCATTATATAAATCTTTCACCTCTCTTGTTAGGTTGATTCCCAAGTATTTTATTTTTTTTGAGGATATTGTGAATGGAGTGTTTTTCCTCATTTCCGTTTCAGAAGTTTTGTCGCTGATATACAGAAATGCCTTTGATTTATGCGTGTTGATTTTATATCCTGCCACTTTGCTGAATTCATTTATTAGTTCTAGTAGTTTTTTTGTAGACCCTTTTGGGTCTTCTAGGTATAGAATCATGTCATCTGCAAATAGTGATAATTTAAGTTCTTCCTTTCCTATTTTTATGCCTTTAATTTCTTTCGTCTGTCTAATTGCTCTGGCCAGTGTTTCGAGAACTATATTGAATAGAAGTGGTGATAGAGGGCATCCCTGTCTTGTTCCAGATTTTAGGGGGAATGCCTTCAATTTTTCTCCATTGAGAATGATGCTAGCCTGAGGCTTAGCGTAGATAGCTTTTACAATGTCGAGGTAAGTTCCTGTTATCCCTAGTTTTTCTAATGTTTTGAACATAAAGGGATGCTGTACTTTGTCGAATGCTTTTTCTGCGTCTATTGAGATGATCATATGGTTCTTATTTTTAAGTCTATTGATGTGGTTATCTAACCCACTGATTTTTGGACAATACAAGTGAACTAATTAAGGGGTATGGAGTCTAGAAGTTAAAGGAAAAGGTTGTTTTCTGTCCATCTATCCCTCTACCATTTGCCAAGTTGTTTTCCTGTTAAGGCCTGTCTTTCCTACTTGTGTCAATATTAAATATAGCTGAGAAGCAGCTTTCAGATGGTGCAGTCCCCTCTCCAGGATGTCTAGGAGAAGAATAGTTGTGTTCAGTAAGGAATTTCACATCTACATGTAATCATGTCTGCTGCTAGTGCAACCCAAGCTTCCAGTTCTCTACATTTTGGGTACTTGAGCCAAAACAGTCTTTGGAATCCATTCACGTTCCTCAACTTCACCACCTCCCTCTTCCTGATCACTCTTTCATCAGTCCTCTCCTTTCTAGCAGAAAAGAGGTTATGATTTTGGAGGCTGTGGGTTCAGTGAGTCTTTGCCAGTCTGTTTAGCCCTGAACTATCAGAGAAACTCCATCTCTAACACTGAAGTTGTAGTGTTTCAAGAGGCAGTTGATTGTATTGGTTGTGGAGGGATTATTCTTGTGTACCATGTTTCCTTGCAGCCAACCCACCATTTTCCACCAGCCTGTCTCTTGAAATCTTTTTCCTCCCCCTAAATATTTTGAGTATCATCATGTAATGATTGTTTCTCAGCTCCATTTCATCCATTACTTTTTCAATGGAGAACAACAACAGCCAGCCTAGCTTTGGTCTTTAACCCAGTATTGCACTTGGTAGGGTGAGGGGTTGAGTGGCTGCAGGCCCATAGATGACCTCCTGCTCTTTGAGCTGTTTGGAGACCACTGCTCCCTCTGAACATCTGGCCCTCCCTGCAAAGAGTGTACTGTACTTGAAGCAAAGCAATCACAAATGGGCCATGGCTGGAATTGCTTGCCAAAGAAATTTCTGGCCTTTCCCTTTCCCCTAACTGCATCAGGGAAGAATCCTTATCTCTGGCTTGGTTTCCACATGAGGTTTTTCTGAGGAAGGGGACTGGGACAAGAAGTCTGTCATGTAGTTAAATAGGCAAGAAATCTTATTAATCCATTTTTTTGTTTTGAGAGTTGCTTGTCTATATGATTTTTAAAAAGTCAAGTATAATTTCACAAATTTTTTTTCTGAAATTACTTTTGGGGTAATATTTAAAATGAAAGACATTTTGTAACCCTGTAAAATACATAGGGAATATAACATTCCAGTGTACACAAAGAAAGTAAATTCTTTAATCAAATAAAGAGTATTATAAAATGAAAAAAAAAAAAAAAAAGAGTAGATCTCAATATTGGATGAAGAGGCAGGATAGGGGGAAGGATCACAGATCCCTTTTAAAATCTAATGACTCTCTTATTTCTAAATATAATTTTGTGGTTTATAAATTCTTATAACTAAAGTTTGACTTTGAACCTGAGGACAGAAACATCTGCTCTAAATATAGAATTTAGGATATTACATTCAGAATACTCGATATATTGCTAAATTATTACAGTCAGAAGGTAGTAAAGATACGGTGAATTTTAACAAAATAAAGAGTGGCAAAAAATGTCCAGAAACAAACTGAGTAATACAGAGTAGATCTATCATCTGATAACTGAATTAGAAATACAAGTATGAACAAGGCTTGAGAGATAATGTTTATATGGAGAAACATAAAGCTCATAAAGGTATTCTGCATAGAAGAAGGCATATGAGTAGCAATGAGACACCTGATATTCTTATTCCGGTTAATCTCTAGTTATAAGATGAAACTTAGAGAAATTACAATGATGATGGTAAACAGAAAAGTCAAGAAACAGAAACTAGAGAATAAGAGGAATTGACCACATAAGTTAATAAAACAAGGTATATCAAGTTTGGACACTGTTTTAATATTTGACTGTATTTATGCACTTCCAAGAATGTAAGTAGATAGTTAAATGATGCATATTATTATTATTATTATTATTATTACTATTAAGTAATATGTGCAACAATAATTAATTACTTAAATTAAATTTTATTATTATTACTAAGCACATACTTTATATTTAAAGGGTAAAAACTCGTTAAGTAACTGAACCAGCATGATGCATATGCATGAGATGTGACTGGATGCTATGCTACTTCTACAATGCTACACTGCTTCCAATAATATCTCACTCATACAAAATTAAGAAATTAATTTTGTAAGAAATTAGAGAGAATTAACGTGGCAAAGTCACAAACAACCAGAAAAACAATTACTTACGCAAAAACTGGTCTAACAGCATTGTTCATATTCCCAAAAGTGGCTCGACCCAACAGCTCTCTGAAACAGTTCTCAGCCAGCATAGCAGGATTCTCTTCTTTGTCAGTTGCAGAAGGAGAAGAAGGAGGGCCTATGCGACTAAAAAAGAGATATCAAGAAAAACTAATGTAAGAATTCTAATATTAGTTCTCATGGTTAGACAAAATAGACTTTACTTCTCAGAAATGTTAATATGGCATTTTCTTTTGTATCCCCAAATATCTTTAAGCTTAATTCTAAGGCCATGAATCTAACACCACAAAAACTAATTATATAATGTTTCAAAAAAGGAGAACTAAATTTAGCTGGGAGCCTGTTTCCAACACACTGTCCTTTACCTAATGTAAAACACTGAGCAGTTCACTACTTGTTCCTGTTCATACAACTTCACGTTCATGTGAAATCTCAGTTAAGGACACCGTCAGGCATCCCCAGCTTAACTGCAAGTGAGCAGAAGAAATACAGTGCACTGAAAAACCATAACCAGCCTTTGTTTAGAAAAAAATGTAAAAAGCTGATTAGAACACCTAAAAAGGTAGAAGTCTTGGTGGGTAGCACTTGTTTGGTTCACATCTTGAAATATTATTTTAGGCAAATTATATGCAACAATAATTAAATATAGAAAAAGTGTATCTGTGGCACTGGAATTACACCATGAGAGAATAAAATTTTTTTAAATTTAGCAAACAGTGGTCTCTATTTACTCTATGTTACTTATGCCAGCCCTGAAAAATAAGAGCCATAATTATGGGAAATAGATTTCTAATTAGTTCATGACTTTTTAAAGTTTAAATATTTTGATAGAAAAATTTTGGCCTTAGTTATAGTGCCAAGAATAGGGAAAATATCAAAGGAGTTAAAGCATAACAAATTTTAGACATTAGAAAAGGACTCCAAATCTGGAGATAATCACACCTGAAAAATTAAGTATAAATGCTTTCTGTAATTAGCATAAATGTAAATGAGCACAGATAGAACTGCTATCATAGTTATTAATTGTTAGATCATTTTGATACTGTGCATATAATCTTGAAAATTACAAATAAAAATTTTAGAACTACAGAGTTAAATCTTTTTTAAATTTGTTTCGGCTTTTCTTCTTAAAATGGCAAGAAGCAAGCAGGTCAGGTTAATAAGCCAAAACCGAGAATTCTGCTTTTGAAGCTTAGTCACACATCTTCTCTATGTAGGGCAACAGAAATGTGATGGTGATATGAACTGGCACTTGAAAAAGTGAAACGAAGTGTATCATTCCAGGTACAATTGAATGGAGGGGTGGTGGCACACAGGGAGCACCATGGACAGAAAGTCAGCGTATATCCAAAAATAAGCATAATGAGGTCACCAGAATAAATTTTCCTCCAGAAAGGAACATATTTCTAAACTCACTTAACCTCATGAGATTACTACTTAGATAATACTAAAAGCATTCTTATAGCAGGGAACACAAATAAATATACACAAAAGCAACACAGCCTCAATTCCAACACCTTTACTCAATACCTGTCAACTTCTTCTATCTTTTGCATGTTAAAAAGAAGAGATGGGACAATCTTATCCATATGCTGAGGTTCCCAAATTGTAGCCCGAAGTTCATCATTAACTGTTTTGCGAACCACACCCTGAATACCTCTTATTCCAGCAATTCGAATTCTATAAAGAAGGAAAAAATAACTATGAAAAAGTTATTTAAAGCAACTTTTTTGTCTAGCCAAGAGAATGGATGTCAAGTAAATATGGCTATCTTCACAATAAAATACCTTAAAAATAACACACAGTTAAGTCTAAGTGGTTAAAATCTCCAAAAATCTAAGTTAGAGAGCAATAGGTTCAAAAGAGCTTTACATTGAAAATCATCTTTTTAAAATTAGCATTTAAAGTTCAAAAGAACTTTCAAATATAGAAATATTTATTTTAAAAATAAAAATATTATTTTTTCACTAAAAAAATCAAAAGCACAGGTTTTCCTAAGATGGTGATGGTGATATTAACTAAAAACAACATGAAAGATTCTTTTTTTTTTTTTTTTTGGTCTGGAAGTCGCAAAGTTAGGTAGAAAAAGAATTTCACAGTTTCTTAACACCTGCCTGCTTCTTCAGATTCCATAGCCCCTAATTTTCTCAAGCTCTTCCTTGCTCTTCTTGGGGGGAAAAAAAGAACTAAAAAATAGCTTACAAAAGCTTCAGAGGAACAGTCTCAAGCCGAACCAACCTGGTGACCCTAAGTCTTAAATATATATTTCTTCTGGATAAATGCTTCCTTTTTTTGAACTGTAATTGTTTACTTCCTTTTCTCCTATTACCTGAAAGACTTACCAATTAGAGGTTTATTAAGCTTACTTAATACTGTTTTTCAGAAACTATAAATCAGTTTAAAGAATGGAAGATATGGGGAAGGGACATAATACTGCTTTACAAACCCACGGGGAAAGACTTCAGGCATTCAAGAGCAGCAAATAAGGAGAAGGGGAGATGGCAATGATATGCCACTGAATAGGTGAGAATGAAGTAGGAGACATATTCAAAAGTGAATTGGGAGACAAGGAGACAAATTCTGCCTATTTCAAAGATGTGTCTACATATGCTGCTTTCTAAAGTATGAAGAAGATTTAAGAGACTCTATGCATCTATCATAAGTGAGCAAGCCTAACATTACTACAAAACGTTTTTGCTTTACATACCTGCTGCTGCTCCACTGGTAACAAGAAGGTCAAGCCCAAGGTGGCATAGACCATATGAACAGGTAAGATGCCATGTGTCATGCCTCATACCTTAAATGGAGTAGCAGCAAATGGTGGTCCCCTTATTGGGACTTAAGAATATGTGTGACACTAGTAACTACCAATAGCTACTACAGTGCACAGCTAGCATCCAGTCCAGATCTAATAGTTGGCCTGACTAGCACTTACTAGCCATGAGCTTCAAAGGTGTTTTACAGTTTCCCCATCAGTAAAATATAACATTTATGGTGTCTACAGCACAGGAAGGCTGTACAGATTTAAACAAATTAATTAAAATAAAGAGCTTAAACAATAATTGACCCTCAGTAAGCAATCAACAACTGTTAGCTGCCCCTGCTACTGTTAGTCACCATGATGATGATGATGATGATTATAATGATGATGATTATTTCTGCTACAGTTGAAGTGCTTAAGAAATCAGCTAGAACTGTGATACATGAGTTTACAAATGAGAACCATTTCTATATGGCTAATATTTTAAGAAAATATTAATAGTTAACAGCTCATCTCCTATTGCTTACATCTCTTTGGGTTCTTTATGGTACGGCTTTGCTATAAATAAAGGGATAGGAGCTAAGAGTATAGTTCAGTGGTAGGGTGCTTGCTTAGCATGTGCGAGGCCCTTGGTTCCACTCCTAGTACGGGAAAGAAAAAGCATTGACAAAAAATATCTGAGTTAGCTGAGCAAGATGGCACTTTCCTGTAATCCCAGCTCAAGAAGCTGAGGCACAGAGATCACAAATTCAGAGTCAGCCTTGGCAATTTATCGAGGCTGTAGGCAACTCAGTAAGACCTGTCTCAAAATAAAATATAAAAAGGGCTGGGGATGTGGTTCAGTGATTAAGTGCCTCTGGGTTCAATCCCTGGTATAAAAAAAGAAAAAAAAAGTATCTAAATTATATCCTGAAATGGAACATTTACAACCTAAATGAAAACTAAATAGGTTTTATTTAAGGCAAAGAAAGATAAACTTCAATTACTCTTAAGTATCTTAAACCATTTTATTTTACTCATTTATTTCGCAGTAGTTCAAATGAAATATTGGTATTCAAATTATTACATAGTATAGGAAAGACCTAGAATTAGGGAAAAGTACTGTAAGTCTTTCATTTGTGTATAGAAAATCTCAAGTCTCTTTTTGTTGGGACTGGGGGTATAGCTCAGGGTAAAGAACTCAACTAGCATGGGAACCGAGTCCTAGGTTCAATCCCCAGCCCCACCAAAACCAGAATAGAAAATGTTTCTAGCTTTCAAGTTTTTTTGTGTGTTTTTTTGGTAAATAATAATGAAAAACATTACATGAAAAAAAATTTTAAAGACATTTCACTAGGGGGCGATAAATACCTAAAAATAAGGAATCTACCTTTGATACATCAGAAAGAATTTTGCCAGCTCTATTTGAAATATGTAATGGTTTGTTTAAAAAATATATATTTTTACCCGTCCTGTAGTAATAGAAAAAAAGATATTAGTAGTCACTACGGTAAATAGGAAATTAATTATCGTAAGGCAATTCTAGTATTTGTATCTTTAAAGTTTCACACTTCATAACAAAGCATTAAAAACAGGACTCTTCATGGCCCATGCTATCTTGAGGAAACAATACACTAACAGAGAAATGACTATTACCTCTCAGCTTTCTTTCTCCAAGTTAAAATAACTTTTACATTTATTTTCATTCAAGGAAATTAACACTGTAGCTTGCAGATTCAAACTAAAAGCTAGTTACATCTCTACATGTTCCCTTAGTTCCTTTAAAATAAAACTAAAAATTACAAAACATGCTATATCTTGATTACCAACTGCTGAAAATAACTCTCAGGCTTCAGGCCAATTTCTTTTTATTAGGTATATTACAATGGAGCATTAGCTCAAATTGCTTTCTATATTTACCAAGGTCATGTTGACTTTAAATCTTAACTTTAAAATTTCTCATTTTTATACAGATATCAACTGACCTGGGGAATGTAGCTCAATGGTACAGCACTTAACTAGCATGTGGTAAAAACTGGGTTCAACCAAAAAGAAAAAAAAATACACTCTACATAGATATCAACATATAGACTGGGTTTGTAATTAAATGTTCACTTCCAAATACCTCTATAAATGCTAGAAGTATTTTAAATAAAGTGTCATGTCAGTAGTCAACGACGTCAGAATGACAATAATTTAGTTTTGTACAATCACTTCATTTAATAACTCTTTATTGATTCAAAAGGACTTATTTAGAGCCTACTATGTGATATAGTAGTCCTCAAAAACAAAGCCCTTGTGTTCCTGAAATTTATACTCCATAGAGGTACAAGAATCAGAAGATACTTTAAGAAGAATAACTAGGGTGGGGTGGAGGGTTGACAGTTAATAAAAGGTGGCTAGGAGAGAATTCTTGGGATAAGGTGATATCAGAGGAAAACTCTGTACAAATCGAGGTAACAAGCCACACAGGTATCTGGGTAATTGGTCATGGCAAAAAAAAAAAAAAAAAAAGTGTATCTAGAGCCCTAAAGTATTCAAGAGATATCAAGGAGATCCATGTGTGAAATAGAGGGAAAGCAGGAGGGAATGACTGACAGGATCAGATATAGGCAGGGAGAGCTGAAGGAACATTCTGGCTACACTAAAGACTGAATTTTAGTGACCAAATTAAGAAATTACTCTGATTTTGCATTTTCAGTCAGTTTTATCTTCTACCAGCAATGGAAAGCTGTTTCACGGACATTCTTATTTCTTTAATAATCACTATGTAAAGTATAAACATAATACTTACCTATAGATTACTTACTATAAATCATAAAATAAAGTAATACATACTCTGTTCGTATTTCTGGATCACTATGACAGGAATGACACATGGCACTGAATCGAGACACAAAAAAGTCATAACGTCTGTGATAAGACGGTGTATCTTCTTCAATATTTGCAAATTTGACAAACTAAAAAACAAAAAGAACAATACTTACAATATACTTTTTGAAAGTGTGGGACAAATACATTTACTTTTATTATCTTTTATATTAACAAGCAATAGCCAAATAAGAAGCAAATGAAATGTATGAGATATAAATATTGCATAGACACAAAAGGAATTTTTTGATAATGAACTTTCAGATAATCAAGGATAGTATTCTAGACATTAAATGCAGCTCCCTTTCAGAGAGCAAGCCCACTCTGTGAAAGAAACAATCTTGCTCTTAACTCTTCCATATTTCCTGCACTCTGATAATGTTTCTTTCAGTGAAGAGCGTAATTAGGCCACAATCTCTACAGAACATTACTGCTTAATTGTGGGTAGAAAATCTCCCTTGACAGAAAAACACATGAGTGAACAAACTTCATACAAAAATGGGACAAGAAAAGGAAAATTAACTGAAGAAAATTTGACAGTCTCAGTAGAAAAAAAAAATATGGAGATGGTAAAATTCATTCTACCTCCTTTATAATGGTGTGTATGTGTATCTCCCCATATGTTTAGGAAATTTTGAATATCCCACATGTGCACAGACCTAACTCCGACAATTCCTTAATATGCACCTTTTTTTCTTAGTTTTCTAATTCATTTATTACTTCAGTATACCAGACAGTCTAAACACAACAAACTGTTAGCTCATTTACATATCTAAATATACATAAATAAATACCTGCCAGGATATTGACTTCAAAAGACTATATCCAAAAAAGTATTATTCAAGAGAAGTATCACAATAATCAGAATTACTAACTTCTGTTGTAAACAAAACTGAAATAGATGGAATGAATTTGAATACATGAAGTATGATACTAAAAAGGTTTTAAAATAGTTGAGCTTGAGCTTTGATTTACCATTATCTAGAAAAGGGCCACAAAGTGCTGGGGTTGTGGCTCAGTGGTAGAGTGCTCGCCTAGCAGGCATGAGGCACTGGGTTCGATCCTCAGCACCACATAAAAACAAAATAATGTGTCCACCTAAAAACTAAAGAAATACATAAATAAATAAATATTTTTTAAAAAGGGCCACAAATACTATACCTGGTTCAGATTAAACTCATAAGCACCATCTGTTCTGTAGCAACCTCAACACATCAGGTGTTTTCTCATGAGTTCTTATTTAGTCATTCCAAAAACCCTGAAAGGGTATCATTATCCCCATTTTACAGAAAGGATATTGAGGACCAGAGATATTGAAGACCAGCAACAGTTAGTGATTATTGAAACTGCCATTATAGTCCAGATGCCTATTTTACATACTACCACATGAAAACAGTTTTAGAAAATATTATACCAAATATTTATACTTTTTATTAAAATAAATAATGAATAATGAGGAAATACTCAAAAAATTTAAATAGAAACACAAAAAGGTCTGTCTATACCCTATGCTCCCCATTTTCTAATATCTATAAAAAGAAGTTAAAGGACAACTTCTGAATTTTGGAATTATAGGTGACTATGACTTTAGTTTACTCTTATATTTTTTAGCATTATCCAAATTTACTACAATAAACATTTTGTTTTTAAAATTAGAAAAAAATAAATAAAATAAAAATCTCCATTAACATTTTCAATGTCCTGGGGAATTCTTTGAAGGAAAAACTTAATTCTATTTTCACTTAATCAAAGTCACAAATAATCATATAAGCTAAGTGATCATTTACAGAAGCAGCTCCAATTGCCCTTGAACATAAAAAGGTGGCTCTGAGCTCCAAGGGAATTGCACAAAGCACATCTTCCCAGTTTTGTGGAGAGTCATCTAATTCCCCTTATTCTGGAAACTAGCAAATTTTAAACCCATAAAGTTTATTCTAAAATATTTCAATAAAAAGTATTATCACTGCAGACTTATCACACACTGCAGACTTATCACATGCAAGAACAGAGAAAATGAGGCACAGTACTGCAGCAGATCAGGTACCCCCACCCAGAAGACCCTGGCCATAATTAAGCTTCTCCTCTCATCAGGAAGATTTTTACAAAGAGTATCAGCAGGATGTCTGCAGAGAGAATTGTAGTTTGAATCTTCCTCTTGCTTGTAAATGCCAGGTTTACACGCAAAAGGTGTGACAGAGTTAAGAATCTACAGTCAAGCTTGTTGTGTAAAAAAGATATTATCTCTGCTTTCTTGGTAAAAATTTAAAAGACCATTGTCTGTCCTAAAATTCACTTTCTGGGAACTCAAAGAAAAATAATCATTTTTATATAAACCTCCAAGCCCTTCCTCCCACTGGGTATAAAGTTCAAAGAATATCCAAGCTCCGCCTTCAGAGAATTTTAGGTGATAGCCCTTTCAGGATCTCCTACAGTCCATAAACCTGCTTCCTGAAAATTCCTTGGGTGTCCAGCCTCTTCTGTCCTACTTCAGTACCATGCAGAGATTATGAACAGGCTCTGTTAAATGGATCTGGATTTGGGCACCACACTTAATAACTGCATGTGTTACCTGTGAATGCCTAACTTAAGTGGTTGGTGAGAAACAACAGGTAGCACCATGCCTTGCACATTGCATATATACAATAAAACATATGTCCTATTTTTTTATCCACTTAAAAATTTACGTGGGGAATTAAATATATTTCAAAAGACACGGAAAGGCAGCAGCAATGCAGTTTCTCACCCTAAGTACTATTAAAATTCTGGGCCCAATAAAACCTTTGCTATAGGAACTATTCTGGGCACCACTGGATGTTCAGCAGCATCCCTCACTTCCTAAATACCACCAGCATTCCAACCTATACCATATAAATTAAAAAATGTTTTCAGTACTTGACAAATATCCAGGGAGGGAAGAGAGAGAAGAGAACTGTCCTGGATGAGAACCACTGCTTTGGTGTAGTGAGTGGTTTCAATGACTGGTCTCTGTGGACAACTGTCAACATTTATACAAAATGGTCAAGATTAGCAATGAGGCTTAAAAAAAAAATGAGATGTGTCAACCAAATACAAGAGGAGGAAAGAAAGAAAAGTAATCTATGATTTCCTTAAGTCTTAATCCACAAAAATGACTGAATAATTATACCATAAAGAAGAAAAGCTTTGTAAGAATGCCTAGGATTGAACTGCCATATTAAATACGGCACTACTTTCCTGGGTCTTTGGAATTATTTAGCTGCAACTTCTTATACATAAAATGCTAATATTTTTAAGCTTCAGGGGTTTTATAAAAATCAATGACACAATATATGTAAGTACCTAGAGCACACACTATTTTATTTTTCCAAAAAGCTTAAGTCAAAGTTGCACAGTATCAACATTTATAATCATTGTATACTATGATTTTAAAACAAAAATTGTTTCCTTACAATGTTGGAAAACAGACATGTTTCAGATTTCAGAGTTTTTCTTATTTTGGAATATTTGCATAGACTTTCAGCACCAGCTGAGCATCATTAATCTGAAAATCTAGTTACAGTGCTCAAAAAGTTGGATTTCGGAGCATTTGCCATTTCAGATTAGGGATTTTCAACTTATATTATTATACAGTGGTACTAACATTACTTAACATTTTTCTTTTCTGAATTGTGTACATACAGGTATACTGTGTTCTTTCCTGCATTTGTAAAGGTTTATAATAAAAAATGAGTAAAAATAAGAAGTACCCAACATAGGAGATCCTAAATTAATAATATCTTTGTTGGGCCTGGGCCCGTGAGCTGGAAAGCAGCCTATGTTGTTTATGTGAGGGGCTCTTAGGGCTTGGCACACTGAGTCTGGGATATTTGTAGTTTGGAACACTGACCATTACTAACCCCATCACCATGGTAACCTGGCTACCCACAGGTGCACAGCATATTCCATTCCTTTTGCTTTTTTGCTTCTGACCTATTGGCCCATTGGTTGCCACTCGTAAGGGTGTTGCTAGTTCACTGGATTATTACAGCCTTCAGCTGAATTTTCCCAGTAATAGACTATACATAAAAGGCTTGCCTATGCAATAATAAAGTGGATCGAGTTCTCTGAAACTGGTTTCAGAAGGTCTCTTTTTGACTCTCGCTACACCCTCCTCAGCTGTTCGGTGGGCTTCAGCTGGACCAAGAGAGCCCACAGATACCTATTACTGTCTTACTGAGTTGGCATCAGCACCAAAAGGTAAATGTCAACAATAAAATGTACAAATATAAAAATATCAAATACTAAATTAAAAATATTAACTGATAAAATATGGCACTCAGCACTACTACAAAGTGAAAATTAGACTTTCAGGGAATATTAGATAAATAATGTTGGTCAAGAAAATATTATGTTTGATTTAATACAATTCACTTAAAAGTAGGTAACCTGGGATTTTGTCTTTTGTCCAAATAACTCATTAAAATAGTTTTAATAGCTCTGCTGGCTGCAAGTAAAGAAACTTCTGGGAATGCATGCTAAATCCTTTCCCCAGCTATTACACCATTTCCCCTAAACTTTCCCATTCTAATTATGAAGGAAACAGATGGAGACTTCAGTAGCTCTCTTGCCTAAAACTAAGCCAATCACATAACTAACAGCATCTGGAAATATGCAATATCATACTAAGGGTTTCTGAATAAGAATTTCATTTGTATACTTCTACTTTTTTAACCATCTATTCTTAATAGTAATAATAATTATCAATGCTAGCCACTGTTCTAAGAACTTCATATATATTAACTCAGACCACACAATCATCTCATAAAATTGGAATTATTATTATTATCCTTATATTACAGATGAAAATCTAAGGCAAGCAGAGGTTAAATAACTTGCCAAAGATAAATGGCTAGAGTTTTACAGCCATAATTCAAACCAAGGCAAGTGGACTCTGGAATCCATGCTGGCAGTCATCACTTATACTTCCTCTTCCTGTGTCAGAAAATAATTATGCATAAACAATAGCAGGTGATATATCATTTGACTAGCTGTTCATAAAAAAATGCATAAGAACATACTATATAACACATACATATTGTATAACATACAGTCCTCAAAAGAACAGAAGGTTATACAATGAGACTGAAGACAAGATATATAAGGTATCTCACGTATGTAAGATAAAGACAATAAACGGTTAATCACTGTATTTTATTTTCCTTTTCCTTTCCAACAAACTATGTATGATTCAGGACAGAAAAAAAAAAAATGAGCATGGCAAGGAGAACTAGTTCTAAAGTAGTCTAAGAAGGAATGAAGATAGAAACCCTGACTTTCATGGAAAAATGATGGAGAAAGAACAGAAAGAATAGCAATGGGACAGCTGAATAGCCATAGGCCAAATGTGGATGAAAATGAACCCCTAACCCATATCACATAAAAACAGCAACTCAAAATAGATGACAGACCTAAACTATAAAACTCTCACAAGAAACCAGAGAAGTAAAACTTTGTGACCTTGGATTAGGCAATGGTTTCTTGAATGTGAGACTAAGGACACAAAAGAAGTGATAAAAGAAAAATTAGACAAATTAGACTTTATTAATTAAATACTTTAGTGAATAAAAGCACACGAACAAGAAAAATAGAAAGATGAATCAGAGAATTTGAGAAAATATTTGTAACTCATATATCTGATAAAGGACTTGTATTAAGAATATTTAAAGAACTTTTATAATTTAATAATAAAAAGCTACTCCAATTAAAAACAAATGATTTAAACAGACATTTGTCCAAAGAATACAAAGCCAATGAGCACATGAAAAAAAAAAATATTTAACATCATTAGTCATTAAGGAAATGAAAATCAAAACTACAAATATACCCCTTCAGACCCTCTAGGATGGTTATAATCAAAATGACAAACAATAACAGGTATTGGTAAGGATGTGAAGAATTTGGAACACTCATATGTTGCTGATGGTAATATAAAATGATGCAGCTCTTTGGAAAACAAACAGCTAACCTTAAAATCTAGCAATTATACTGCTAAATATAAACCCAACAGAATGAAAAAGCTATGTCCACAAACTTGTACACAAATGTTCATAACTGCCAAAAAAGTCCAAACAATCCTAAACTAATGAATGGGTATACAAAAGTATAGTATATCTATAAATTGGACTGTGATGTCATAAATAGGAATGGAGTGCTGATGTATGCCAATACCCAGATGACCCTTCAAAACATTATGCTAAGTGAAAGAAGAAAAAAAATTCCATTTATTTGAAATATTACAAGTAGGAAAATCCACAGAGAGTAAAGTAGATTAGTGGCTTCCAGGGGTTGGGAAAGGAGGGCATGAAGGGGTGGTGAATGTACAACTCTCTAAACATAAAAAGACACTCAAAGCATACTTTGTAAGGGTGAACGCTATAAAGCTGCTATTTTGTCAAAGCTTGAAACTCAAAGGAAGAACAAGACACAAAGTTACTTCTATAACAGATAACCCAGGGAAGGTAAAATGACAGTTATCAATTCATTTATGGTCAGGTATTTCATCATGAATGGTGGGTATCACAGATTTTACCAAGAGTGATAGAAAATACTAGAGACAAAGTGTTCTAATCTTCATCTACACTAGCTATCCAAATGCCCTGTCCAAGGAGTTGGCCTTTCTCAGGCAAACACTCTTTAAAAGGATATAAATTTGAGATATGCTAACTGAACTTAAAAATTAACAAGAGAATAGTTTTTACTCACAGAATTTGTTCCAAGAACTTGAAGCTTTGGTTCCCCTGATTCCAGCAGCTTTGCCACCATATGAAGAAAGCTTTCTACGAAGGGCTTGATGCTTTGAGAATGGCAGGCCATAAGAAGTTGGTCCAGGGCCTCCATAGCAATTAGCACATACCTAAATGCAAAGAAAAACAATGTCAAAATGTTTCTAGCTCTCTTAATTCTCCTAAAGGCTCTTCTCATTGAAATGATTCAAATATATTTATTTAAAACAACACAGAAAGACAAATTCAGCAGCTTCTAAGTGAAATGTTAATTCTCACACAACACTTATGATCTTAGTAGATTATAAAATAATCCTAGTGTTGAAGAATACAAAAACTATATGGTACTACTCCCATCTTCTCCTCCTCCTAAAACAACTCTTTCAGAGTAAATCTCTCATATTACCTTTGTGTAATTTTTCTTTGTAAACATGGACATTTTCCAGACTTTTAACTGTATTTATTTGTATATGACCCCAAAATAGTAAAGCAATGTGCCTAAATTTCCAGTACGACCTACCTATACTTATGAGTAGATAAAACAATACTGGAAACAAAAGAATAATATAAGGAAATGTCTCATAAATTTTATTTTACAGTTCCACAGATTTTAAATCTTGCAAGTGCCCTAAATTTAGTTTTCAGACAACTTTCCTCTAACAATCAACTATGAGACTACCTGTGCCATGACCACTGTTGTATATGCTAATAATGTGCAAGTCAGAAAGTCAACATACAGCTGGAAGACAGAATATTCTAAAGAAACTAAGATCATAAAATGACAATATTGAAAAGCGTTCATATTTCAAAATTGCAAAGTTATTACTGTTCAAGCATAGAGAACGGGTTAAAATGCTAGACCCTAATTTGTAGGCAGCAATATATCCATACCAGTTCCAAATCAGCATGCTTATTACATTTTCTTAATCTTAGTATCTAATCCTAACATGATACTCGTTTACCCCTCTGAGAGGTAAAACTGAAGCTGTACCCAAACCAGTTGTTAACAGGATCTGTTGTTTTCAAATTAGAGACAGATTTTCAGACACACACTACAGACCAAGTAAGTAGATTTCTACTATTTGGTATTTTCAAAAATTAATAGATGCTAAAGCTAATGCCAACTCTGTTAAATAACCTGACCAGGTTCCTAAGACCTCACCACCAGAAAATATAAGCTAGAGTATCTATGGGTTTTATATATTTCCTTTATAATAATACTATTTTATCTTACAAACATGATCTTTGTCTGATCAGATGGCACAATAATTTATAGAATAATTTAGCCAAGGAAAAATTTTCCAAAGATGCTATATTAGTTTCCTTACCCAGAACGATGTCTGACAACATCCCTGCTCAGCCTTTCTGCCAGGTAAGAACCTATTCGATCCAGCTTCTCTGGAGCAGATACTGCATAAAAGGTCAATTTTTCCATATCAGCTTTAACAAGGCCATCCTAAAAATAATGACAAGTATCCAGATTATTTATCTTTTCATGCTTATTTTTTGTTTGTTTCTTGTATTTTTAAGTGTTGCCTGTTTCACATTTTTCCTTTCTGGACTGGGAATTAATTCACATTTAAGCTGAACCTTTCCAGGTATAATGTTCTCAGTTCTAATAATATTTACTATTCTAGATACATGCAACTTTCAAAAAATTAAAGAAAGAAAGCTAAAGAAACACCCCACTTAGGCAAAGAATTTAAACAGCCCTTCCAAAACAATGAATTAGACTCTTAACACTTTATAGAGCAATTAACTCAGTATATAGGGAATGAAATGTATTTTATTAAAAAGATTTCAAACAAAACTTGCTTAATTTAATGTTAAATTATTAAGCCTATACTCCTTTACACATACAACGGTGACCATATGCTTTCATTTAATGAGTCAGAACCTGCTTATATCATTATAAAGTTTTGTTGTAGTTAATAAGAGAAAATATTTGGAACTATATTAATCTATGCTTAGTTGATGTATTAAAAAAAACTAACATCAACAGCCACAGGATCCTTATACAAGATTATAAAATATCATTCCTTTCCATCCTCTAAAGATGACATGCAGTAGATCTAATGATTCTCCCCCACTCTCATGTAACCTCGAGTAAATCACCATACCCAAATTTCTTGGCCAGAAATCATCATTCAACTAACTGACTGCTACTTAGGAAAACTGGAGGAGGAAAAGGATACAAGAAAATTATGCTAGATGATGAATCTACAAATACAAATTTTATAAAAGTGTTTTTTCAACTTCAATTGGCCCCTCATTCTCTGGGAATTTTGCTCCCTCCCTAATGGCACTACTCTCTCCTAGTGTGCACTTGCTCCACTCTGCAATGGAATCAGAGAGTTTGCAGCTCTTGTGTATGTCTTCTTCCCCTTGGCCACTTCAACCTAGGGACCCTTCTCTAGTTCACTGAGAGTTCAACCTTCAGGTCTCAACTTCCTCTAAAGACCCTTCAAGGGGTCAGATATTCCTACTATACATTCTTTTAGTTCACAGCACTAAGAGAACACACAGCAGTACAATCATACTTCTTTTCACTCATTAAACAAATACTAATTTAGTGCCAACTATGTGCCAGGCACTGAGATAAACCCTAGAGAAGCCACAGTCAGCAAAGAAATGTATTAATTCACTTAGTCTTCAAGAGAACTTTATGACAGGTACTATTTATTATTTTCATTACACATGAGAAACTTGCCCAATATCAAATGGCTAGTAATTATGGGAAATTGCTTCTTGTCCCTGCTAACTGCCATGTGTGTGTGAAATTCATAAAAATCTTGCCTATTCTTTAACCTACTTTACAGATTGTTATTTGAATACTTGGCAAAACAAAGATTCTTTCTGTAACCACCTTCTAGTTTACTGGTCATCACTCCAAGTGTTCAGAACTTCTACATGTCTACAAGTTAAAGTGGGTGAAGCAGACAAGCCTTGTCTGCCCTTCATATTCCACCATACTCTGTTCTCTACCCTGCCTTCAGTAACTGCATGTCCTGGACTTCTCAAGGAAATAATGATTTGAATATTCAATCTATTAACTAATACATGTTAAATTTCAAATCGGAAACCATGGTCAACACTATTTCTATAATTAAAATACAGGAACATTCATTTTAAGTCTAAAGGATCAACTTGCTCTTGATCTCAAATATATCTCCTGCTTTCTAATGCTGTTTCTCTTTGCCCTCAAATGCAATGAAGTGGCTATTTTTCTCTACCTCTCCAGATGTACTACATCCTTAAAGCTCAGAAAATCTCATTTCCTCTGAAAACACTTCCCAGAGATATCAACCCACAATGGTATCCCCTTGATTTAGAGGCCAAAATGTTACCCCCTGATTTACTTAACATTTTACTTACTGATTTATACACTGTGATTTACTATCTTATATGTTTTTGTTTTATATCAATGTATGAAAAGCTCCATAATGGCCTGTCTTAGGGATTTGAATATGCCACAAATTATCCAGGATCTCTGACATCCAATAGTATTTATGAATAATCTCCTCCATACAGTTGAATATTCAAACAGTTTTGATTAAAAATAACATATATCAACATTAAAGTTAAAATGTCCAAAAGGTTTCCATATACTTGGCTACATTTTAAAATAAAGCAAATTCTGGAAATCAAACTCAAATATTGTAACATTTTGTGTCTATATTTTTTTTTAAATGAGACCAAAGGAGTCTTAGAAAGTGTGTAAGGTAGTGTCAAACAAAATTACCCACACCCAGTTGCTTTGAAACTAGTAACTGTCTCATGCATGAGCCCAGTGTGAGCAGAAAATCATGTCTGTGTACATAGTTGTATCCTGAGCACAAACTAAAAATCATCTGACACTGCTTCATAAATTTTTGATTGTTACTTAAACAGTACATAGATTACCAAACAACCACCTCTCATCCCAGATTTGTGCCTCATCTATGAAAATAATTGAGAACTAGACAATCAATCATGGGTAAACTTAAAATTAAAAAAAAAAGAAAGAAAAAAAGAAAAAGTATAAAAGAAAGTAGTGTACTTGACAAGATGTAGGGATAAAAGTAGAGAAATCAAAGTAGGGAAACCTTAAGGAGATCAGCAGGGGGCAGAAGGGGTCAGCAAAGAGAAGGATCAGTAGATGTAGATCAAATTACTTTTGGATCTTCAGGAAAGATGTTATCCACCAGGCGTTTGTAGCGAGGACGCAAAGCAGAACAGCAGCAACACACTCCTGTTCCAAAAAAAAAAAAAAAGTTATAGAAATTAATATTGTAAACTGACTCAGAAATTCATTTCTGAATATTAGTGATCTAGGATTTAAAATACAAAGAAAAAGTTCAAACTGTCACAAATAGAAAAGGCATGCAAATTCAATTAAGTTGCTATGTAAGAAAATTAAATTTCTTTTCCCTTTCCCAAAGACATGTAGCTATTAAGAATTTGCACTAAGACTCTACCCCAAATCAAAATCATCCTATTAGGCAAATGTATGATCTATATCTGCCCTCCCCCCATATCTCCTTTCTGAGCTCCTCTCCCACTACTCTCTGAACACATCCCCACCTGTGTGTACCAATCCACTCTACTCCAGTCACAATGGTCCCTCTCCTGATCCAAGGTACCCTCCTTGGATCTCTGATGTTACTGTTTCCTCTGCCTAGAACATGTCAAAAGATCTTATCAGACTGTCACTTTCTTTGATTATTCATTTAAATCTCTGACCACCCTTACCTTGCTCTGGTTTTCCATTGCACTTAACACCCTACATATTAAATAATTTTCCTACTGTGTTTATTGGTTAGGAACTGCTTTCCCTCACCAGGAAATAGCTCAGGTGAAGGCAAGGATAATTGTTTTGCTCACACATGAATCCCAAAAATTCAGAATAACACAGGGCACACAGCAGGCACCCAAATATTTGTGGAGTGAGTGCATGCACATATGAATGAATCTGTACTGTCCCTACTTTAACAATGCCTTCCTTACTGCTCTTTTCTACTTTTACAATGTAGCTCTGATTTAGCTTACTTGCAATTTCTTATGTAACTTCCTAACATGTCCCCCAGCCTCTTCCTATAGCTACCACATAGAGAGGGTATTTACAGCCCAATTCTAGCAATATGATTATAGTGAACCTCCAACAACTCACTGATACTGACTATGTAGAAATGTCCTAACATAACATCCTTCAAAACTTATAATCTCTTGTTACTAATCACTCTTTATACTTCATAAAATTAATATATTCCAAAATAGTTTAATTTTTAAATGAACATATTTTATTCTGTAAAAACATGTAAGAATATGTATTCTTATGACTAAAATTTTAAAAACGACTAAAGGATTTGAAACAAATATGACAAAAGACATATGTTTAATTTATAAACTTTTATAGAAATATGACCAACAAATAAATAGAAAAAGACATGATCCAGAAAACCTGGGTCTAGTCCAATTTTTTCTCTTAAATTGCTACATGGCTTGGGGAAGGCATAACAAGAGTGATAAGTGGGCCTATAATCTCAACAACTTAGGAGGCTAAAGTAGGATGATTTCAAGTACAAGACCAGCCTCAGCAACTAAGCAAGGCCCTAAGCAACTTGGCAAGATGTCTCAAAATAAAAAATAAAAAGACCTGGAGATGTGGCTCAGTGGTTAAGCATCCCTGGGTTCTCATGATTTATGAAACTAGTATGTGTAAGTAAGCATACTTAGGCTCTATATGCTGATATTTGTAAAATGCTATATATTGTTCAGGATATTTTTCATTAGAAGACAAAATATTCGAAAGAATTCAAATATTTCAAAGAGTTATCTTTTCAGATTATTAACATCAGAATACGTGAATCCTGTTTAGTTTCAAAAGCAAAACAAAGGTTTGGTTATGGCGGGGAGGGGGGATAACAGCCAAAGTAGCAAAATCACCTTTCTGTATCTACTACACCTAATAAAAACTACATCAGATAAGTATTAATACTGGCATTAAAATTAATTAAAATCCATTATGTACTGAACAGCTCTCATAGTTCTAAGGTATCACAATAATATGGTAAGATTCACGTAAATACTTTGCTAACAGTAATGCAAGGTCAAATATAGTAAATTCAAATTGTTCTCATGACAAAGAATCAGGGCTATGGGGCTTAAAAACAAGTCCTAAAACTGCAAATTTTCATAAGAATGGCAAATTGTTATTTTCAGTGAGAAGATTCTTAAAAAGCTATTAAGATTCACTTAGGGCTGGGGATGTGGCTCAAGCGGTAGCACGCTTGCCTGGCATGCGTGCGGCCCGGGTTCGATCCTCAGCACCACATACAAACAAAGATGTTGTGTCTGCCGAAAAACTAAAAATAAATAAATAAATATTTTAAAAAAAAGAGATTCACTTACACTGACACATTCTGCTATCATACACTACATTTAGCTTAAAGGAGCTTAAAAAATAAAAGTGAACTTGAAATACAAACAATATCCTCAGTTCCCACTTCCAAGAAGCTTAGGTCTACTGAGGAAGACAGATGAGCAAAAGGCACAATGTCAACAGGCAGTCTCGAGCTAAAGAACAACAACCTTGGATTCATATCTGAGGTGAGTCTAAGGCCTCTAACTGTCCAGCTCAGCAGGCAGCTCCCATTCTCTTACTACTCCTAAGTTTCCTCACCAAAGTAATAATGCCTTCTCCAGAATAATTGCAAAAAAATTATAAAGTTGTACTTAAGGCTCTCATTAAGCATTCAACAAAATGGCAGGCATTACCAGTAGTGAAGTAAAAGTAGTATTACAACCAGGGTAAACAGAAGGAGATGGAGGGGGCCTTTAGATTGTATTCCCAACTAGGTGAAAACCTTTGCTGAAAATTAATGATTTAAAACTTACAACAAATTTCATATATAGTTTATGAAAAACCTTTAAGCATCATTACCAGATAGGAGTAACTGCTATATTCTTATCACCACTTGTTCAGCACTATACCAAGGACTTTACAACATCACTCATTTACTCCTAGAATACCTCTCTAAGGTGGTTTGTTTAATGATTGAGGAAACAAGCTGATTTGCTCAATAACACACAAATGTTAAGGATCCAAGGAACTGTAATTCCATCCCAGATCTGATGACTGCAGAGGGCAATTGCCACACTAAACTGAAGTACCACAAAAGGTTTTTTTGGGGTTTTTTTTTGTTTTTTTTTAATATAGCATGACCAATAAATGACCAATAAATCATGACCAATAAATCTGATTGCAAGAATGTGTGGACCTAACAGATGAGAACTGCACTTTCCATACAGGGAAATGAATGATCACAGAGCTTCTCAAGAAAGCCCAAAACCAAACAAAAACACCTCCTGTCCACTAACTATAAATACAAAGCTACCCACCATAAAGAGGACATGGGAAATTAGGTTAAAGTAGTCAATTTATAGGCTGGGGTTGTAGCTAAGTGGTAGAGTACTTGTTTAGCATGTATGAGGCCCTGGTTTCGATCCTCAGCACCACAAAAAAATAAATAAATAAAATAAAGATATTATATTCAACTACAACTAAAAAAATAAATATAACAAAAGTACTCAATTTACTCAGGTCTTTATAAATTATATCAAAGATAATAAGGTTAAAATGACTATATCTGAAATAATCATAAAAAGAATTACTCTATAAACAAGAGAATACTGTACTTATAAACATTATAAGAATATGTAAAATAAAACTATTGGACCTACTCAGGTATAAAAATGGCGCTGACTCTCCTGGTGAAGTGAATTCATACGGTTTTTCAAGTTCAGCAGCAGGTACCTGAACATAGTCCTTCATGCTGTGTGAGACTATGTTCTAGTTGATCTCCTGCTTCTATATCCTTTTACCTACTGTTCAGGAAGCATCTAGTTCACTTTACTTCTAATTAATTAGCAGAGGACACTAAAGTACTGTAGCTTCTTATCTAACTTGTTGACATCAAATATGAAGCTATCATGAACTTGATCATATCTGTATCAAATTCTGCTAGCAAGGCCAATTAGCTTAAGTAAGACACTATTAAAGTACTAATATTGCTAGTTTAATAAAAGTAAGTTTTCGTATCATTTAAAGGTCAGCCTACTTATGCTTTTTTTCTTTAGAGCAGTCCTTATTCCTTCTCATCCTAAGACCTTTTCCAACAAATTCACTTTGCATCCTAATACTGTCCATTTTTCAATATCTTCCCGATTTTTCTCTTCCAGTTAACAAGTCTAAGCAATGTAAATTTTCCTTTAAATTTAATTTTAGCATATAAAAAGAGAAAGCAATTATTCTTTCCCCACAGCATGTGGAAGATGAACCCCTGGCAAAGATATATCAGGAGAAGAGGCAGGAAGGCTTATGCAAGATGACTACAGTGGGTAAACAGAACTTGGGCACAGATGGAAAGGGAAATTATGACCAAAAAAGTGGCAGGCTGCATATTCTAGTAGTATAATAGGTTCAGGAGCAATCTGACTTAATAAGAGAAGAGGAAAATCCCATTGCTTAAATGCTACCATGCTACTGGGTACCTAGGATAAAGCTATGCTCCAAAACAAAAATGCTGTTGGCAGCACTATCACTGGAGTTGAAGCATGCTCAGATTCTATTTTGGAAACTGACTATATAACTTTGGTTAGGTTTGTTTCATCTCTAAAAGAAGAAAACAAACAGCATCCACACCTTCTATGTAGCAATTATATTATCTTATTTAATTTTTACATGTAATACAGTGGAAATTCAGTGACACAGAAGTCTTCAAATTTCATACTTTTAAATGGGAATGGATTACTGGATTTTGGTTCTTTATGTCTTCACCATATATTTCCATTATTGCACTATAACCATTTATTGCATTTATTCATATGCTTGTTTGTATCACCATAGTAAGTCCCTCAGATGCAAAGCCCACATACTTTAAATGCTGTTGTGCATGTCTGGTATCTACCAGAGATTTACAAAACTGTTCCTTTCCTTAAACAAACACACAAAGTTCACGGATACATAAAATGAATTTAATGTTTATAGCTATGTGCTACAAAAATCAAATAACTATAAAGCTCATCACTGATCATGAAGCACTCAGTAAATGCCAGAACAATATAATTTCTTGAGCAAACAGATGACAATGTCAACTGAATCATGTTTAACAATTCATGTTTTATTTTTAGACCTAGTAGAGGCCTCCTGCAATCAAAGTGAAAAGAGACAGACCTTTGTACAGGAAGACT